CGACGAGCTGAGTCGATTTAGCCCTGTCCGTCTGTCTGTCCGTCCGTCCGTCCGTATGTATGAACGCGTCGATCTCAGAAGATATAAGAGCTAGAGACTTGAAATTTTGTTTCCTAGAGTCTTCTTACTGGTTTCATTTGATTTTTCCATCCACTCGGAATGCTTCGATTGAAGCGCATTTTTTCAATTGTCCCAAAATGAGTTCGTGCTTAAATGCCGAAATGCTGTTTTCGCTTTCAATTCCATTTTTCCTATTTTTTTATCGCTTGAGTGCATTTTAGTTGCATTTATTAAACATTGAAAAGCTCTAAAAATATTCAAATATTGCCGATTTGCTGCCTGGAAATGATATAGCCATAAAATAGCCATCAAAACGTCGGCGCATATGAGTAAATGCTTCAGAAGACTTGTGGAAATGTATTTAACTCAAGTGTTGCCTGAATACCCTGGATGACAGTAGATAGGGGAGTTTGATGATAAGATATGCGAGACAAGATTGAAGATGGAAAACGAAAAATAAAAGAAAGAAGATAGATATATAGCAAATAGAAAATAGAGACTAAGCTAGCGAAGGTAGAAGATTTGAATAGTATATAGAAAGTAGAAAAAAATATATAAAATTGTAGATGGAAAATAGAATCGAAAAGATAGAAAATATAGTATCTTATACGTTTTACAGAGCGTTAGATTTATTTACTCTTTGCAAATCCATTCATGGCTCATGTAGTAGAGTTCATTCATATTTCTTAAGTCTTAAATCTCTACTCCTCATATTATAGAGAGATGAAACTATATTGCTTGGTATATCCATTTTTAATGGGATTTATTACTCTATGTATAAAGCAATAGATTATCTATACTCATTTACTACTCCATATTGATCTAAGCATTAACATAAAAGAGGTATGTAAAGATATGGAGTCCCACATCTCGTAATACCCCATAGTCTCTACAGGGCATCTTCCCGTTGAGCAATGCCTTCAGAGCAGCGCTCGCCTAATTGTTTCTTTCTCAAGTGTTTATATGTGAATTAAATGCAGATATATGTTTGTATATGTTTAACATATTTATAGATAAGGTATATGGCTGAGATCGCTGATGGCCAGACGCCCATTTCGAGTGGCCCAATGAAAGGTTAATAACACTCCACAAAGAAATGCGATTTTAATGTGGAGAAGGGGCGCTGTGCCACGAAATGCGGCAATTGATTTGTTGAAACATTCTGTTTATATATGATATAAATGTGAATTATTGTGCGTAAATTGCATTTGGTAAGAGATGCCTACACACACACACGCACACCCAGGCAAACCCATGCACCATCCATATATGTACATAGATCCAGCTAATGTCCATTACGTAATTGCATTTGATGGCGACGTGCATCTAACGAGCTAGTAAAGCAATTAACGCGTGTCTGTGTGCGTGCGCCTGTGTGTATGTGTGTGGCTGTGTGTGTGGGCGTGGCTTAACTGGAATCAATAAAAAGTTATGCACGCTGTCTACGCTAGTCCGAGCGGAAATTGCAAAATAAATTGTTATTTTTCTCTCCCACTGCCAAGTGGGGAGTATCATGTTTTTCTCAGAGATTCCCTTTAAGAGTTACATTTGTTTTAGTGTGAAGTTCAATTGAACTAAGTTGATAATCAATCAAAAGTTTAATTAGTCCTGGAGGATTCTTTAAGCTGCCCAATTAAGCTTAGAGAATCCTCCAGGACTAATTGAACTTGATTTATTTACTTCAAATCGTTCATGAACATCTTGTTCAAATGAACTAGTGAGTGTTTAGTGGGTGTTCAGTGACTCAGCTGTTCATATGACTCAGTGAGTCAATTGATTCATTGTGCTTAAAACATTATTGAGCATTGACATTTCTTAATCAAGTACAGCTCGAATACCTAATGTAATATAAATTGTCTATATATATAATATCTCTAAAGTATGCAACATCAGCAAACATATTTTATTACGAAACCACCTACAATCTAGAGTATCTGCCAGTCATGCACATCGAATAGAATCCTATTTGTCCTGGCATTTAAATTTGTAGCTCGCAAATTGGATTTTTCCAGGGAACGAAATTTATTAATACTATTGACCATTTTGGCTTAGCGGGGATTAGCCCACTCGATGGGTCGCTGCTCGGGTCAAGTTTCTTTGGGACGACGACGAAGCGAACGAAATGAAAATTGAACTTTAAGGCTTATCACCTGAAGCCTGGCACCCACTGCTGGGGCAAGCGGCCCGAGGCGCGGGGCCAATAGGTGCTCAAATGTAGGCCACACTTTGTGAAAATAATCAGCAAAGCATTTGATGGAAATGCCGCTGAAAAAAGTTTTGAGCTTACAAGCTGCTAGAGTGGTGCGGCTCTAGGAGGTGGTGCGGGTGGTGCAGCGAAGTTTCTCGATAGAATTCTGGCTGCAGGCTGCAGATAAATAGCTCAAGAGGCAGATGCGAAATGAAGTTAAAGTGTGCGTGTCCCGAGTGCTGCACTGCAGTATACCCTGTAATTGCCTTAGAAGTTTATCTAGCAAACGCAAAGGGAATTTATAATCAGTTTCATATGCTTGCCTAACTACTATATACCCTAGAACTCACTTGCAAGTGGAGCTGAGGAAGCAAGAGGAATTTATAATTAGTTTGGATAGTCTATCCATGCTGAAGTTGGCTTACAAGTCTTATTAAGCTCAGCTATCGAGAGGCAAAAGGAATTTGTAATTAGTTTACCAAGACTACGTGACTCGCGTATACCCTGTAATTAGCTTAAGATTATATTGACCATAATGCGACGGATTATGATTATTATAAAATGATTTTTGACACATTCTTAAGGGAAGTACCTAAAATTAGTAGGAGAATTAAGTACTTGAATATAAAGCTAAATACACGACAGTTTTTGGCTATGAGATACCCTGTGTTTCACATAGAAATACTTGAAATCGATTTAAATACTAAAGGACTGCATACTTATGTATAAGCTAAGCTCATCTACCCCATTCGCAGTGTGTAACAGAAGCGGGGCATTAAAGGGAGCATACGGACTGCATACAAATATCAGTTAAGTGGAACAGCAGAGCAGTCAAAAGCAGCCACCTGCCTGCAGCGTAATCCATTTAAGAGGCGCATTTGCCGCATTTGACTGTCAATTGACGGCTGCTTAGGCGAGCTGCCAAGGCTCATCCCGTCGGCAGCTGTGTGCTCAAAGCGGGGGAGTGAGGGAGTGAGGGAGACTTGATTTGGTTTTGATTTGGCTTTCATTCAATGCTTGCTCGCTTGTTCGCTTGCTTGCTTTCAGGATGAGGGCTGGAAGCTGAACCGCACCAACTACTATCAGGAGGGCTGGCTGGCCACGGGCAATATACGCGGCATTGTGGGCGTCACATTCACCACCTCGCACTGCCGCAAGAACATGGACTACCCGCTGCGCACCAACTACAATCTGCGAGGTCATCGATCGGACGTGAGTGAAGCGAGCACTTTGGAATCGAATGCAGACTAAGTCTCTTGAACCATTTCGTTGGCCGTTTCTTTCAGGTCATTCTGGTCAAGTGGAATGAGCCGTATCAGAAGCTCGCCTCGTGCGACAGCTCTGGCATCATCTTTGTGTGGATCAAGTACGAGGGTCGCTGGTCCATCGAGCTGATCAACGATCGGAATACGCCGGTCACGCATTTCTCCTGGTCGCACGACGGTCGCATGGCGCTCATCTGCTATCAGGATGGCTTCGTGCTGGTCGGCTCTGTGGCCGGTCAGCGCTATTGGTCGTCCATGCTCAATCTGGAGTCGACCATCACGTGCGGCATTTGGACGCCCGACGATCAACAGGTGTACTTTGGCACCACCCAGGGCCAGGTGATCGTCATGGATGTGCATGGCGCGATGGTGTCCCAGGTGCAGCTCTCTAACGATGTGCCCATCACGTCCATGGCCTGGTCCTGCGAGAAGTTCAAAATGGAGGAGGGCGAGGAAGCCGAGCCCGGTGTAACCAATGCCGGTAAGTGACAGATCAGTTGACCAAGTAGACTATGCAGAGAGTCCTGTCAGCAACTGGAATTTTAACCAGATCATCAATCAATCACTTTAGCTCTTTACACTTTATCAATTAGTCCGTAAGTTCATCAGTCTATCGGTCCTTCGGACTATGCCATGCTATGTAAATGCACTATGTCTGCATAAATCATCAAAGACTCAGCTTTGGTAATATCAATCAATCAATTATTCAATTATTCTAACGGTGTAAGAATCTTGAGAAGGAGTTTTTAAGTTGCTCAATCATCATCAATCAGTCAAGTCGTCCATACTTAGTCTTAATCAACTGGGATTTCTATCATGTTATCCTTCTAAATGGTTTTATATTGATCTCTGAAATAGCTCAATCAATCTATTTTTCAACAAATCAATCACTCTTAATCATTTGGGATTCGTGTTCCTTTCTGATTGACGTCAGTCCATCAATCAATCAATATATACTTGGTCTTAAACAACAAGAATTTTATTATGTTATGCACTAGATTAGGCTTTCTAGTTGTAATTGCCTTAAACTCTTAAGCTGTTCAATCAATCAATCAATCAATCAGCATTTAGTATTCGTCAGCTGACATTTTTACCATGTTATACTAGGGCTAAAGCTTTGTAGTTATTGTTGTCGAAGTCTGCACACAATACCATCAATCAATCAGTCAATCAATCAAGCTCTAGCCTAGTTCTAATTTTCCTCCTCGATTTCAGCCAAGCGCACTTTTGTGCTGGCGGTCAGCTTCCAGAATGGATATATCTACTTGCTAAAGTCGTTTGACGACGTCTCACCCGCACATATCAACACCTGCCTTAACGGCGCCCTGGGCATGGTCATGGAGTGGAGCAACTCGCGGGAGCTGCTCGCCGTGGCCGGGACACTGCGCAGCAATAGCAACAGCATGGGCCTGGATGGCAAGCTGGAGCACGAGCTGGGCCTGGGCACGCCGGCCGGCAGCTGCTACTACAACAACCTGGTCAAGTTCTACACGGAGTCGGGCAGTTGCCTCTACCAGGCCCACATACCCTGCAGCACGGCCACCGTGTCGGCCATCACCTGGGGCCACAACGACAAGCGGCTGTTCATCGCGACGGGCACTCAGGTGCACATCGCCTGGATCTCGCGACGCGTCGCCTCGCTGCAGCTGCTCTGCCGGCTGCAGATCCAGGCGAGCGTTGGCTCCGAGACGCTGTTGCCGCTGCTGCCGTTGCCCTCCAGAATCAAATCGCTCATTGGCAATCTGTTTGCTCAAACCATAAGAGTAAGTGAGAATTGCTCTATATATAAGTATGTGGCAAGACTTGAATGAATCTCTCCTCCATCTCTGCTCTCTCCTTCAGTGCTGTGTACCTGATCTGAAGTCGCTGCGTGACTTTGTGTCGCGCCCGCCGCTTTGCTCGACTCGGTTGCACTGCACCATGATACGGCATGATGATGACTCCAATCTCAGCTCCGGCACCTGCTACACGCTCTACCTGGAGTACCTGGGCGGGCTGGTGCCGCTGCTGAAGGGCAAACGCACGTCCAAAATACGTCCGGAATTTGTCATCTTCGATCCGCAGGTTAATGGTGAGTGCAACGAGATGCAGTTACTCGCTATTCCACTAGATGCTCATGCGATTGCATTGCAGACAATTCGCTGTATTTTCAATACGCCGCCGAGGCCAAGAGCAGCTCCGGCTCCAGCCAATCCACCACGACGGGCAACAGCGGACGCACCGACTCCTCGGACAGTGACTTCGATGAGCGCTCCTCGCGCTTCGGCTCGCCTCGAACGCCGCGCAAGCGCCGCGTGCGCGCCAAGCGGCGGCCGCAGAACGGCGACCGCACGGCCAGCGGCAGTGGGAGCAACACTCTGGATCCGGACAGCCTGGACGAGCTGGCCTATGTGGACACGCTGCCCGAGGTAAGGGTATAGAGGGGTGGGGGCAGACGGGGGCTGTTTGGCATGCGTTAACTTCTGTGCACTTGCCCTTTCTCTCCAAGCAGGAAGTCAAGCTGGTGGAGGTGACCTCCAATATCTGGGGCACCAAATTCAAGATCCATGGACTTGCCAAAACCGTCCCAGCCAATTTAGGCCAAGTAACATATAAGACGTCCCTACTGCATTTGCAGCCGCGTCAGATGACGCTGGTGATCACGGAGCTGCGCGACGATTTCCCCACTGGGCCCGATCCCAGTTTCAATCCCAATCTCTTCTCCGAGGACGAGGAGGAGCACAACTTCAATCATAATCATAATCATAGTGCGGATGCCGCAGTGCCTCATGTGAGCGTGACGAGCGCCGCTCCGGATGCTGCTTCAGCTGCATCAGCTGCATCAGCAGCAGCAACAGCAGCAACAGCGGCGACAATAGCCGCATTGAAGCCGCCAATTATGCCGCAGCGTCGCCTCAACGATGGCGCCTCGGCGCCGCCCATTGCGCCCATGTCGCCACGCCCGAATCGCATACTGGCGCGGCATAAGAACTCGCACGGCTTGACTGTGAATGGAGCTGGCTCCGGCGGCGGGGCTGTGGGGCTGAGTCCGCTGGCGCGTGCCGAGAGCTACGACGACGACTCGTCCAATGAGTCGCAGGAGGCGGCAACAGCCGCTGGCACTGCCACCACCGTGCTGCTGCATCAGGCGCCGCCCAGCTGCAGCTCCGGCTCGCCCTCGCCCAGCTGCAGCAAGAGCGTCACGCGTCCAAAGACCATCAGCAGCTTCAAGAACAGCTACAGCCGCTCCAGCTCCAACTCGAGCTGCCAGTCGCGGCACGCCATCTCGCCGCTCTACTGCGACGGCTCGGTGCCCACGCTGCAGTCGCCCAAGAACGCCGTCGCCCCGTCGGACATCATATTCGAGCGGCCCGCTGTGCCGGCTGCGGGCCAGACCACCCTGATGTCGTACTCGAGCAATGCGGACTACGCCAACAACGTGGTCCAGGTGAAGAACGCGCTCATGTCGGAGTCGATGCGCACGGCAAACAGCCACGTGAATCCGGTGCCGCTCAATCTCAACTTGAACCTGGAGCGCATGGATGCGCGTGCCGTCAAGTGCTCCACAACAAAGCGGCGGGACATGCTCTACATAGACGAGGAGACGCAGTCGCCCACGCCCACAACCACAACCACAACCACCGCCAACACCTCAGCAGCCTGCTCCAGCATGAAGCGCACTCCGACTGTGGTTTCCATAGCGCCAGCGCTGCCCGACTCCATAACGCGCAGCTGCAGCGTCGGCTATCTGGACTCGGTGGCAATAACGCCCTCGGACGAGGCTCTGTCCGCTTTACGCAAGGATGCGCCCAACAAGCGTCTGATCCTGGTGGACAAGCGCCGCAATCGCCATCGCAAGCGCCAGCAGCAGCAGGCGGACGCTCGCCGGCACAAGCTACAGCAGACGGGCAAGTCGAAGAGCTTGGACTCCTGTGATCTGCTCTCGCTGCAAACGAAGCTCTCCAGCAAGGAGCACGAGCAGGTGGTGCGCAAGCTGCAGGAGATCTCCGACAGCAGCGCCTGCAGCAGCGCCGCCAACACGCTGTGCTTCAAGTGTCGCAACAACATGAATCCCGCCAGCGTCTGTAAGCGTTGCCAGCCCTCGGTCAATCTGGCGCTGGACGAGATTACCGCGGTGACTGTAGAGCCCGCCAAGGAGCCAACACCAGTTGCTGCAGCTGCAGCTGCTGCTGCACCTGCTCCGGCAGCCGTGCCGGTCAAGGCGCCGCCCAAGAAACGCTTTGATGTCATCACCAGCTTCACGGACAGCCCGCTCTTCACGCGCAAGCATCGCTTTGGATATGGACGCAGCAAGGATCTGGCACCAGGCAGCAGCACTGAGAACTCCACACCGCTGCTCGCTCGCAAGCACGAGAACAGCTTCAGCTTTGTCAAGCAGCTGTCCGAGGTGCGCTGGCGCCGCAAGGAGACGCCCGCCAGCCAGCAGCAGCAGCAGCAGCAGCAGCAGCAACAGAACCAGCAGCAGCAGAGCTCCAGCAATGCCAGCACACTGGAGCGACAGCAGTCCGAGACGAGCAGCACAGCCTGTGGCACGGTGGAGGCGACGCCCGTGGAGGCCAAGGCTTCAGTGTCGCTGCATACGCAGGTGGGAACAGGGATGGAGTCAGGGATTGACGGATATATATGTAAGATTGATCGTTGCTTTCGTTTTAGGCCTTGACCACCTTGGAGAACATCATCAGTCGTCTGCGAGATCTGGATGAGGGTCGCTTGACGCCGCCGTCGACGCCGCAGCGTTTGCCGCGCAGCTCGCCCGCCTCGCCGGCGGCCAGCAAGAAGAACAAGCGCCAGCAGAGCAACTCTCCCATTCGGCACATACTCAACTCGCCGCTGCTGAATCGCAGGCAGCGCAAGAAGCCGAGCATCATCGAGAGCTCCGACGACGAGGGCAATCAGACGAACGGCTCGGGCGAGGAAATGGGCGCCAGCACGGGCAACGGCAATGGCAAACAGTATCGCGACCTGGAGACATTCCAAAAGGCGCAGCTGCGTCAGAAGGTAAACCTCAGGTTAAGTGCGTCCAGTGCAAATCGCTAATCGAGATTCTCCTCCTCTCTCCATCTCTTTGGGGCAGCTGAAGCGCGGCAAGATCGAGCCAAATGGCAGCGCCAGCTGTGCCAATCCAGCGCCGGTGCGACGCGAGTTCGTGATGCACAACAAGGCGCCCATGTGGAACGAGATGAGCCAGGTGTACCAGCTGGACTTTGGCGGACGCGTCACCCAGGAGTCGGCCAAGAACTTTCAGATTGAGTTTCGTGGCAAGCAGGTGCGAATATTGGATTCTCGCTATGAATCTTAACTGACCAAATGATTGACAACTACATTCGAATCTTTTGCAGGTGATGCAATTTGGACGCATCGATGGCAATGCATATACCTTGGACTTTCAATATCCATTCTCGGCGCTGCAGGCGTTCGCCGTGGCGCTGGCCAATGTGACGCAGCGCCTGAAGTAATTGGACATTATGAATATACCAACTGTTGTATTATCGTAAAGCATTACAGACACAAACACACACACACACACACAATTATATATATATTTATATATGTACAACTAACTATATATAGTACTTATAGCACGCCGCCAGCTAACGCCGCAGCAGCAGCAGCCGCCGATCGCAATTGCTTTAATATGCATATTTTTTTATACTATACTAAAGCAGGCCAAGCAGGCGCCTTGGCTTTATCATTTGTAAATATGTATATGTACTTAATTATATTGTGGTCTTTAGGTTTCTGAATGCCATACATATTATTGTGTAATGTTGTATCCCCGAGAGGATGCGATCTATGAACTCATACCACCATTTAATTGAAGGTTTAGCAATTTGATATTGGTGCGCAACAGAAATGAAGCAGATGAAAAAAACTCACAGTCCGATCCATTTTTTGTGCAATATTTGTATGACAAACTTTTTGGCTTAAGTATATACATGTATAAATAGCAAAACCAAATGAAATGAGATGATCGATGATGTAAGTGTTAAGCATCATTATTGATCTATGATCTATTTTTAAACGTATCTGAATGAAAACGATTTTTCAGTCGAATTTTTTAAACTAGTTTGTACAAGAGCAGCCTTTTTGCATTGAGAGCTTCGTTTGTTTTCGTTATTTCCTTATCGACTTAGGTGCAATAACAGCAATTCCTTTTGTTAACAATTCTTAGCATATAAGAAGATATCAGTATAAACAACAAATCATATATTTAACATATATGTATGTGTGTATACAGCAAATATCGCTTGAGAAAAAATAAAACATAAGAGATCGCTTGGCCTACTTCTAAAAAAATAAAAAAAAAATGGATGTACGAGTACTTAATACTAGCATATTTTTTATATATGATAAATTAATTGTGAATGTTAAAATTATAAGAAAAAAAAAAAACATTCTCTTACACAAGAAATTTTGTGCTTTTCCTCTTAAAAACTCTTTTTTGTAGTTAGGCTTAATTTCAAGACAAATTCGTTATTGTAATTGTTGTGAATATTGAAATAAACTCAAAAACTCGAATCGTAAACGATTTCCAACGTGCAACTAATTAAATAAATTATAATTATACATATAATATATGTGAATAAACAAACAACAGCAACAAAGAAAAGTAAACAAAACAAATCTATAATTTTTTAAATTTACATAGAATACAAGAGATTGACTTGTGTAATATTGCTTCCTTTATACTTTATGCCTTTCCCTTTCGTTGCTCTATTTCGATTTCAGCTTTCTCCCAATCGGGTATGGACTTCTCCTTTATGTTCCAGGCATTCGTTTTGGGACCTTTTGTTTCAGCTACAAAGGGATACAGAAAAGATTTTAGTATATATAAATAGATATAAACATAAATCATTTGTAAAGTATATTGTTTACATGTCTTGAAGCGCTTGACGCCCTCTTGCATGTCTTCCACCATGGACGCAGAGACTTGCATTATCTCATTGTTGATGGCTGCACCGAAGCCGGGTCGTGCGTAGACATTCGCATTTTCCAGCGTCGCATTTCGATCGTGCTGCAGCGAGGCCATGGGAAACTTGGCAATGGAGAAGGCTAAATTGACGGCCTGTCCTAGGGCTGTGCCTGTGGCCACGATTCGATTGACCAGGCCAATGCGTAGCGCCTCATTTGCATACACTCTTCGACCCGTCTCTATGATATCTACAGCATTCGAGTAGCCAACGGCAGCTGCTAGGCGCACAGAGCCGCCGTCGCTGAGCGGCACACCCAACCGACGATTGAAAAAGCCTAATACCGCTGTGTCTTCCATGACGCGCAGGTCACAGAGCAAGGCCAATTCGAGACCGCTGGCCACACAAAAGCCGCTGATGCCGCATATAATGGGTTTGCGTAGGTGCCGTCTAGTCGGACCCACCGAGCCCTCATGGCGCAACAGAAAGTCAAGACTGCCGCGTTGCGCCTCCGCTTCCAGTTCTTTCAGATCATATCCAGCTGAGAAGGAGCCACCCACGCCGTATAGCACGCCCACAGGTGATGTGTCATCTACCTCGAATTGATGGATGGCTTCGCTCAGCTGTGCCGCTGTGGCTGCATTAATGGAATTCCGCTGCTGCTCCCTGTTGATGCCGATTAATGTGATGTTGGCATCTTTTTCGACCAGTATGCTCGGTGCTTCACTCTGCTCTGTGTCCGCATAATGTGCCGCACTCAAAGAAAATTTCGTTGCGCTCCTAAATAAATCTCTGCAGCTCTTAAATCGACTGAAAGTAAACAATTTATGCATTTCAGCCAGCAAAACAAAACTGTGAGTGTTGTGCAGCGTTAAAATCGATGATTTCGCTGGCGCGCATCTCAACACTGCTTGTCAGTGGCAACAGCAACGCTGTCAAAAGAAGGCGTGTATGTGTGCACGAGTGTGCGTGTGTGTTGGTGTTGGTGTAAAACAAAAAGCGGATTAAAAGAAAATACAAACGCTGCGCTGCCAATTAAATATTTATTTATTTCTATATAAAAATTATAAGAAAATAGTGTTAAAATTAGTCTAATCATCGGCGTGTGTGTGAGTGTGTGTGCCAACGCGTTGCGTGAGTGCGTGTGTTGCTCACAAATACAAAATACAAGTGATATAAGAAAAGTACAAAAGAGCTCGATTACAATACGCGACTCCAATCTGCCGCCGCAGACAAAGGATAGTTAAGAAACGGTATTAGCCTGGTTATATACACATATGTACATATATACGTATGCGTACATATATACTTATATGCATATATGTAGATGTATGCATGTGTGCTGTAAACTGCACGCAAAATGTGAACGTGCGGCAGCTGCTGGCCTGCGGTTGCGGCGCCTGCTGAGAGCAAAACAACAACAGAGCGAAAGTGACGAATGTCCGGCGCTGCAGCAGCGCTCGACCATAACAATAAGAAAGGCACAGAAGATAGAAGTAAATGGAAGAAGAGAGAGCAGGGACAGGGAGGAAGGGAATGACTGCTGACTGCTCCCTGCTCAGCCTGCACTTGCATTGCATGTGAATATCTCCTCCGCTGGTTTTTCAATGCAACTGTAATTGAATTGGCATTACAAATTACGGTTAATATCCAGCCTGTCTGTATCCAAGTGTGTGTATGTGTGTGCGCGTGTGTGTTCGGGTCGCCAGCGATGCCACCGCCTGCATTATTAGTGCTTAATTGTGTCTATTTTTAACAATGTGCGTCCGCCCAACATTTGGGCGCATTCTCTGTCGGCTGTTGGTTGGCCCGTGGCCCTCCAGCCCGTTGCGCTGCCCATTCAGTTAGGCTGCTCTATAGGCGCCCCCGAGGGCTCTTGTCGGCCACACTATTGCCATTTTGCTAGCTTACATACAATATGCGTGCGTGCGTGTGTGCGTGTGTGCGTGTGTGCGTGTGTGTTTGTGCGCGCGTGTGTGCCTCAGTCAGAGAGAGTGAGAGTGAGTGAGAGCGAGAGGGTATCTGAATTTTGTGATGAAATATGTAACGTGTTGAAACGGGCATCCCTGAGAGTACAAATGCACAATATAAATTTATGAATAATTGATGATGATCAAAGCGTATTAGAAACGTTACAGTAGTGGACAGAGATTTAGAAACACTTTGGGGTTATATCTAATTTGTTAAATTATAATGTTAATAGTGAATCAATCGGTATTAGCAATAACAAAAGCTCTACAATAGCGAGTTTAGAATTCGGAGCAATTATAAAATGACAATAAAATATACATATATAGGTGTATGTACATCCATGTCTTGAGTTCTTTATAGTTAATTTACAATGACACCATATTACTTATCCCAAAAAAGAGTGTCACTATTTATATGACCACGACTGTATGTCTCATAACTAGCTAAACTATCTAGGATTTACTCTCAACATATGTACGCATTATTAAGTAAGGGTATTCGTGTGTTTGTGTTGCCTAATTTCTGGTATTATTATTTACTATGTATGCTGCTGTCTTTAACCGCATCATGATCTATTTTCGTAAATTTTATTTGCGAAAAAGTAAAGCGAACTCTCAAAGCGTATATAAAAAAAACTTTCGTTTTATTATGTTTTACGGCTGGGACACACCTTTTGATGGGCAGCCTTTGATCGTATATATAGATATACACACTAATCGTAATTAAATTGCCAGTGTGTGTGCAGTTATACACACACATATATCTTTATATATCTTGCACTGTCAGATAAGATATAGAGAGTTGGGTATATCGAGTTTATTGCCTCAAGTACAGCTCAATTAATTGAATTAAATGCGCACGCATTCATTCAAAGCGAGATATTCTTACGAGACAAAAGAAGAAAAGAAAAGAACGCTTACATTCACATTCACATTTCGCTCTTTCAGCAAATACAGTCACGACTCGACGATGTCAACCGGAAGACCCATAAAATGTGTCGTCGTTGGTGACGGTACCGTCGGAAAGACTTGCATGCTAATCTCCTACACGACAGACAGTTTTCCCGGTGAATATGTGCCTACAGTGTAAGTGAAACCCTCGAGTGTAAACTGATCTTCGCTAATTATAATCGAAATCGATAATCTCTGCAGCTTCGATAACTACTCTGCACCCATGCAAGTGGACACAATACAAGTGTCGCTGGGTCTATGGGATACAGCCGGCCAGGAGGACTACGATCGCCTGAGGCCGCTCTCCTATCCACAGACAGATGTATTCCTGATATGCTACAGCGTTGCGAGTCCCTCATCGTTTGAAAACGTCACCTCTAAATGGTATCCGGAGATCAAACACCATTGTCCCGATGCGCCCATCATCTTAGTGGGTGAGTAGCTATCGACTCTGTCATCTCTTAGTTCTGTCATAAATTGATTTTACAATTTTTGCGCAGGCACTAAAATCGATTTGCGTGACGATCGCGAAACGTTGAGCGGGCTGGCCGAGCAGGGCTTGACGCCGCTTAAGCGCGAACAAGGTCAGAAGCTGGCAAATAAAATACGCGCTGTTAAATATATGGAATGCTCCGCCTTAACGCAGCGCGGCCTCAAGCAGGTAAGTGCGGACACACCTAATCGACAAATAGCGACAGATGATGATGATGATGGCGATTTCCATTTACCTAGGTGTTCGAGGAGGCGGTGCGCGCGGTGCTGAGACCAGAGCCATTAAAGCGACGCCAGCGAAAGTGTTTAGTTATGTAAATAAGCAACGAGGAAACCGACTGCGGAGAATACTCAGCAGAGGGGAAGCGTAAACAGTGAGACAAAGAGACGGAGAACCAGAGAATAAAAACATGAAGCGACCCTCATCTCTAACTAAGCGTGAACAAATCAACAATCAGCTGACGAACAAGAAGAGAGAAGAACTTGATTCATTGAGCATTATCATTTCCTTTAACATAAGCAAATAGTTTTGATTCTGTTTAGGTTGAAAATTTGATTTAGATCATCCATTTGAAAATCGCATGGCACAATATTAACAAAATGAGAAACAAATAACAAGAAATCCCTCCTTATTAGAACTAAAGTGTAACAAGATGAAAGCAGCAGTTAAACCATATATAATCCATATTGAAATCTAGTCAATTGAATCGAATCGAATGTATTAAATAACAGCAGCAGCAACAAATTATAACGAATTGAACTAAACATAAACATAAAGGAAACTTTGGTTTCGCATATCAGAGAATATTTAAGGAATTCCTATTTTGTTTGTTTTTTATCAAATGTATTATAATTATAAAGTAGCCCGGCGTTTCCTAGTTTTACACAATAACCAAAATACTTGACGATGAGCTCTAAGAGAAACAAATACGTGGAAATGAAACAAACAAGATGAAATGAAACAAAAAACTCGTTTATACGATATTTTAGCTTAAAAAAAAAGCATTTTTCTACTATTTGTAATAATCTTAATTAATTAATGCTCTTTTGAAACTTGTAACAACTGTTGTTTATTTTAATTTATAATAACTTATTTATTGTCCCTAACTTAAATAATGCAATGTAAAAACAGAAACAAAAAACAAAAAAAAAAAAAAAAAGGATAGCGAAAATGTGTAAATGGAAAAGGCAAAAACTGCATTTAAATGTGACTTGACTCGAATCAAAAAAACAAAGCACACACTTTTTGTAAGCAACTCGAATAGCAAAGGGCGAGCAACAATTTTTTATAACAATTATATAAATATATATATTAAAGAGAAACAAACTAACGAAAACTCATGTAAATTTAAAGCAAAGATCAATCTACTTACGAGAAATCGTTACATATAAATATATATATATATATATATATATATATAGTATATATATACAAAATGCTGTAACTATAATAAAATCAGAAAAAAACTGTTGGATTTTGTGTGCTCAACCATTGCATAGTTATTAAATATTTCATTTATTTATTTAAATGCCACGTTTCTATCGATTTGTAAACAATTAACAAATTTTTAAGTTTTTTCTTGCTTTCACTGTGCGGTTAACAATTCCACAGACATATATATATATATGTATGTATATAGAGGAGATCTCACTGGGTGCAGCGTGTTCTGGGTGGTGCTGTGCCTCAATATAAACGGAAGGGCTTTGGATGAACTGCCTGGCCGGGCCTCTTTTTGGCGCCCGCACTCTTGGGACGCTTCGGCTCCGAGTTGAGCGACGGCATCGATACGGATAGGACGAGGCACTCCGCCGGCAAGGACATGGATGAGGTTAAAGTTGTGGCACGCTGTATGCGCGGCGCTTTCCAATACTGTATGAGAAGAGTAGCACGTTATTAGAGTGTTGCCAAATGCCATTAGCTAATGCTAAAGTTAATTCAAAATGAAATCAATAACTAAAATAGAAACTTACAATTTACTTTGCTTAAAGTTTCAATTCAATTTGTTTCTCACTTTTACCAATGCGATCCAAATGTGGTTTGATACGTGCGTCGTGTGTGTCTGTGTAGCATTTGATACGCTTGCGGCGTGGGCGTGGGCGTGGTCGTTGCATTGCATACATACGTATATAGCTACATATACATATATATATCCAAATTATCTGCCAGAATTGAAAGGTACTAAGTGCAAACAAAACGCAAAGTTTTTTCAGATATATATGTATTTTTTTCCTCATTTTTTTTTAATGAAAAAAGTTTTGTTTTTATTACGTTTGAAATTTGTGTTTTTTTTTTACATTTTTCGTAAAACTGGGAAAGTGTAAATAAATTGTGAGAATGATGCATTTTTTTGTTTAACTAATCATTATTGTTACAAATTATAAAATTTTGATATATATATATATTTAATATAAAGTTCAAGTATTGAAAATTCACTTTTAATGGGTTTTCTTTATTGTTTAAGTTTTCATTTTGGTTTTGTTTTTTCTTCAACACTTTTAACTACACGTAAAGCACACAGTTAATAATCGTATATATATATATGTTTGTATATATATTGTGTGTTTATTTGTAGTATATGAAATATATATATATATATATATATACTTTATTTGTTTTTGTTTAATATAGTTTATGCATTTGCCTTGGTATCTAAATTGATAAATAGTGCATAGATCAACTAATCATATACTTTATCTGCTTCTTCTTCGTTTCAATACGCTGCAACTGAGTAAGTGTGTGTGGATGTGTGTGTGTGTGTGCTTGCACAATCGTTTTTATCAAATTTTATAGTAAATTCTCGTATAGTGTATTAATTATTGCATATATATTTTTTCATACATTTGATTCTCTTTTTTGTGTAACTTGCTTAAAATTAATTTTTGTCAAATTTTGTTTGCATAGTTTTTTTTGTTCAAATTTAGTTTTAAACGAAATTATAACTTTAGCTCAACATGCATTGTTTTAGAAATATTTTTTTTTGGACTGGATTTAACTTTGTTGATTTAAATTTTCATCAGCGCCGCTTGTTGAAGCCGTCATGGATGGTTGTGGACTCTGCGTTCAAGATAAAAATATAAACGCATTTAAATAATCGCATGAAATTAAAATTGAATAAGAAACAAAGCGAAACAAAATCAGGGTGAAGAAAAAGGAACAGTATTAAATGTAGGGGCAAACAAAGTATTACGATAAACGAGCACAGCAAGCAATTTCCATATGAATCACCGGGACACCTTAACGTGTAGGGGCCTTGGGTGGATCGAATTCAGGTTCACTTTGGTTCGGTTCGGTTCGTTTCAGTACGGTACGGTTTGGTTTGGTACGATTAGTCTATCCAAAGACAATATAAACTTCAAGTTGAGTGACGTCACACAACAGAGCATAACATATGATTGCGCTCATAGATTCCGCTCAGCGATTTACAGGAGTGAGTAAATTAGTACAGTAGTAAAAACTAGAGCGGTGTACGTATCTATGCACTACTCAGATATGCATATGCTCGCCAGCGACTCGCTGAGACGCTGAAGATTGAAATGTTCGAATAGAAGTTGATTCGATCTCGAGTTCAAGGAAATCGAATTTCAATGCAGGGAATGAGAGAGTACGAAAATGCACTAAGTTCTGTTAGTATTGCTACTTAGTCATATAGAACGCTCTGAATGTTGAAGTTTATATTATCTTTGATCTATCACAGCACTGTTAAAAGATAAAATTGTTCAACTCGACACGCAAATAACTTACAGGACTTTTATCGTGAGAGTTATACGAAAGTATATTTTTGTATAGCATAAAATCGCTTCATATAATGGACGTAATCTTTCTGTCGTACGAGTATACCGTTTCATTAAAATTTTTGTTTTTCTTTTTTTCTTTTTAATTTAATGCACTTTTTGATGGCTAAGACTAATAAAATGTATACACATATTCCTATAATAAATTGAAATGAAAATCAAATAAATATTATTAATAATCAAGTATAAACATTCAATCTTATGTAGATGAGTTAAAGCCGAACCCAAATAAATTCGTATTTTTTTCATGGAGTGTATTTGATGAGGGAGTCGAGAGAGCAAAAGCATTTTGCACGTTTTGTTGTTGTTTTTGGCTTGTGATTTTTAAATGCTGGGCAGACTTTCACAATCATCAGAGATAATACATAATACACACGTAGTATATAGATTGAGCATATATAGCTATATAGTCTAGGTTTCAGTAACTCTGTTATATATTATATCTTTTGTTTAATAAAACATTTGTACTATTCTACATAGTATAAAAAAGATTCTTGACTCTTGCCATAAATAATACTCTTTGCTGGTATTTCTTAAGTTATGTTAACAAAACTTCTCTTACGAGTGTTAGGTATTTGTCTTTGGTATTCTTTATACGCTTGCCAAAAATGAAAATCTTTTGGAAAGAGCATAAACCAATTTCAGCTAGCCGAAATTTGCTTTGTGTTATCGACTGTATTACAGGGTATATACATACATAATTTAAAATAGAAACTCTTGCAAACTCAATCGAGATTCTCTTTTGTTTTTGTTTAAGATTTGAGCTAATTTTTGTTGTTTATAGTTTTAAACCTGTTTTCGTATTTTAGGTACAGCTAGGTAGTATATTTCTTGTGTTGATTTTGATTATTGTTCTAAAGTATTTGTTGTTGGTAATGTTTTTACTTAAAAAGCGATTCAAATATATCGTTACACACACAGTCAGAGTTACAAAGACCGAATTCTAGATGAATGGTCGCAACCAAGCGACCCTGCGCCGCAAACTACAAATTCCAGATGAAACAAGAGACGCGAGTTTCGATATTCGATTTCGAAATTCGAATATCGAGTGTGAGCGAGAGGGCGAGAAAGAGAGAAAGAAATAGAAGTGAATGTGTGGAAAAAATGTTGAACGCGCCTTCGAGCACTTTTTTCTTCTTCTTGATGTTAAATACTCGTTCACGAAGTTTTGGTGTATATACAGCTTTCGGACTGAACAATCAATTGATATTCTAACTTATGTTTAAAATTATGGTAGCTCGAAGTATTGGGTATATATATACATCACTTAAAATATGTTGGGCTTTATAGTAAATGGGGCGAGGCACATCGGAATAAACTGTATTGTTTTCGAGGCTTACAACCTGAGTCAAAATTAAGCAACTGTCTTATCTCTAATGGCTGATTAGATTGAGGAGAATTTATATATGTACTTTTAAGCCTATTGAAGGCATTGCGAACGAATAGATAGTAATCTATTAAATTTTAGGTTAATATAATAATCTATTAAATTTTATTTTAAACTTTTTTCCTTTTATTTCGTGAGCGAGTATTCTGCAGTCGATGACGGCCGACTGCAACGATCTACACTTCTTTCATTTAATACATAGCATGAATATGAAGAACGTTTTTCTTTTTGTTTTTAGAGAATTTAGTTAACGATACTCAATTTCTTTGTTAATGCATCTCAGTTTTGAGTTTGAAAGAAATTCATTTTTAAATGTAAAACTATAAAAAACTAACTCAAAAAATTAATAAAATATACAGATAAAAAATTGTGAAAATAATACACCCGCTATATGCATATATGTTATATTGATTGTGCTATAAAAATAGTTTTAGTATTTCTATGGTGTTTATATAAATCAAATCGGAGCTAATCAGATGCTTATTGGATTAATTTGTTAGAGATAAAATGAAATCCAAGTTAGTTCGAGCTTTATCTTTTGTAGTATTTTTTTTAGGTGTTTCGTAAGCCTTAGTGAGTGCTGTTTTCTTTTTTTAGGATATATAGGTTTGCAGTGATTTTTTCTCTCAGACATTGCTTGATCGTATGCCACTTAAAAATTAAATAAAAATTACAATTAAAAAATGAATTTCTTGAGCTAAACACAAAATGGGATGACATTTACAAATTGATGTAATGATGTCTATTAATGAATTGTTTGTGATGAAATCAAATGCAAATTACAAATTAGATTTGAGGAAACTGAATATGATAACCAAAATTAACTACAAATTTGTATCTGGAAACTACTTCGATGATTTTTTAATATGATATTTTTTGATCGATTTTTGTTTTTACCTGTGTTGGTGGTGTTGTCAGTGCAACAGAGTGTTCAACATTTTTCAAATAATCCTTATCATCGAATATCTTCTTCTCACCGCCACCGGGCTTGTGCTTAACATTATCCAAAGATCCAACTTTGCTTTGTGCCTTAATTTCTATTTTTTGCGTTTGGATCTGAAATGTAGTGTCAAAGCCACCAACAAAAACGCACACAGAATTCATTAGCAACGATTACATTGTATAGAGTAAATCTTTCCATTATATACATTTCTAAATATATACATTTTCGATTTGCTGACCAATTGTTGTTCTCAGTTAACGGCAAATTTTTGGAATTTCCTCTTTTATACATCAAATACAATGAACAATATTTACAGGGAGAACATTTTCTATATTGGTGTTCTAGAGAAATTCTGCAAGACAGTGTGATTAAGTGATTTAAATACTAAAAATACTAAAAGTACATAAAATACTAAAAATAAAAATACTAAATAATTCAAAATTGATTTATAGACAAAACTAGTGAAAAACCTTGTTTTTATTAATACATAATACATTTTTTTGATATAAATTTAAAATAATTTCAAGTTACTTACATCCTTTGTATTGTTATCCTGGATTTTTGTATTTTGTGTGAATATTTGTTAATTATTAAACATAATATAAAAAAGATTTGTATTCAAGAAATTTTTTTCAACTTCAATGGGTTAGTTAAAACAAAATCCAGTTGTATAAATCAAATAGAAAATATCAGATTATATAGAACAAATAACACTCAGAGAAAATATGTATTCAAGTTTCCAAAAAAATTTTTAAAAATATTTTGGCTGCCAAATTTTAGTATATTTTCGAAATATCTTAGGAATATCCTTAGAAATATCTTTTTGAGATCTATATTTTTTAGTTCAAGTAAATATGAATGTAAGTAATATGTTGCTGAAGTATTATAGCCGCGGGTAATCAAGTTTCTCAAATATACCGTTCAGTTTAAGCATAGTCTGGTTTTTTGATAACTCGTGGAGCCAGAAATTTGAAATCAAAACAAAATCTCTCTACCCTGACCCTAAACACGCTTTTAGATGAAGGCAATACATGTCTAGTATAAGCCAATTGTAACAATATACCAATAGATTTTTCTCTGAGTGTACACAAAACTGTTTCTTTTTCTATTTATGTAGATCCAAGAGTACAACCGTAACTGCCATTGGTATTTACAAATAAGCTTTAGTTACAATGGAGTCACCCAGGTGTGTGGGTTAGATGATGATTTTGGATAGTGCTTAGCGTTACGTACCCAGCTACACCCAATGTTATTCGTCTGCATTATACAAATTGTCATCCAGACGCGCATTGTCCATCAAACAACGATGGCTAACTATTTTGGAGCCCTCGCCAAAGACAATGTCGTTGGGGTATTTCTTGTACGAGTAGCTCTGCGGATTTCGATAGAGTTTTCATATTTGGATAGATAGATGTGTTGGTGAGCGAGTCAAGAGCATGCCAAAAGTAACTAGATTGCATAAACATGCTCCCCCATGCCCCATGCCCCGTGCCCCGCATCCCGCATGCCCCACATGCCACCATGCCAGTTAGTCAACTTCTATGACACCAACAACTAAAATACTTAACTGCTTGGAAGAGTAGGTAAATCATAAATATACACATGTCCAAATCGGAGTCTTGAACTCCGATTTCGAATCGAAATGAAATAAAGAAAACGTTGCTTCAAGTGCTTTTCGACTTACCTTAATGTCGCCTCCGCCGGGCTGATGCTTCACGTTGTCCTTGGAGCCGACCTTGGGCTTGGCCTTGTCCTTGAAGTCCATCTTGAGCGACTCGATCTTTTTGTCGCCGCCGCCCGGCTTATAGGACGCATTGTCCAGCGAGCCAATCTTTGACTTGGCATTCCACTGCAACTTTGTTGTAACTATCTACAAATTGTATTCGTTTTGCATTTGGTGGTGATTTGGTGGTGCGAAACAGATACAGATAGATATACAAAAGATGGTTAAAAAGTTAAAACTACTTCGACTGCAACGATTGCTGATTAGTCAATGTCAATGCACGCGCTCATCTTGAAATTCGACTTATCAGATTCAGTTTGATATTGTATATGGTATACGTATATACCATTTATGTACTGAGAGATATTCTACATAAGGCTAGAAAATTATGCTGTTAAGTGCCTCGACTTGTTCGCAATTTGCATTTCCTACTAGATACCGAAATGATTGCATGACAAATATACAGTTATACAGTTATAAATATATATACAGACTATATCTTGAATCGCAAGTCGACCGTGAAATTGAATTTCTATCAAAATACTTGAGGTTCATATTAATGCTTTTTGTTGTCTTCTCCCAATTGCAACTACAGTAAATAGTACTAAAAGTGCGACTGACTAGGCGTATACCCTGTACCTTGTTGGGGGCTCGTTGTTGATATCAGTAATGTAGACGCGAGGAAGTACTAGATAACTTTATTATGAGAGCCTAATGATCTTGATTTATCATAAAATCATTTTAAAGTTTGATGTATCTGAGTAAATTTAATATATTCTCCAAATGAGGAGTACTAGAAAACAATTGGTTATCTCTTATAGTAAGGAAACCACATACTAAATTTAAATGCTTGGCTCCGAGAGAGAAACATACATGTATAGCTCTAAGAAAACATCTTACTGTGAAGGAAAATATGTAACGGGGAAGCAGATCTTAAATATTAAAGCAACTCGAGTTTACATAAATCCAATAGTCACTGACTTACAGAGATATTATCTGCTACTTTTTAAAATGAAAATGTACCAAATTTTGATATACTAGCATTTCTCTTTTTCAATTTTGGATAGATAATGATAATGAATTTCTTTTTTATAGAGAAGTCAACCCTCCAGTAAATTACTTGTCAATATACAACACACATGTCATAGGTACAGGGTATATTTTGCATTAGATAAGACCATAACCGTCCCATACTAAATTTTAGACCAATTAGGACTTACCTTCTTCTCTCCACCCTTGGGTATATACTTGTCATTCTTGGCCTCGATGCGTGGTCCAGCTTTGATCTCAATTTTCTTCGACTCGATTTTGACGTTGCCGCCACCGGGCTTATAGGTGGCATTGTCCAACGAGCCGATTTTGGAGCGTACCGCCTTCAGATTGGGCGATGGTGCATGACCGACCTGTATCTTGTTCATTGGAACTGAGAACAGATTGGAAGACAGTTGAGATGGGACATAGATTGCGATCCAACCACTACTAACCTTTCTTGGGTGGCTCCGGCTCAGGGGTCTTGAGCAGCAAGCGATTCTTTGAGGCGCTCCGCGACTTGGATGCTGATTTATTAGAGGGCGTGGCACTCGGTGGGCGCGATGTGCCCGTCTTGTCCGGCTTCGAGGAGCTCGATGTGGGCGTCTTGACCGGCGAACTGGGCGAATTCGGTCCGTTGCGATCCTGTGCGTGTCGGGGGGGCGGGAGAGAGAGAGAACAAGAAAAAGCACAGTGTCGGTACAGTCATGTCTCACTTAGTTGGACAACGGTCTAAAGCTTTACAATGAGATAGCTGGCATCAGCCAGCACAATCAAATGCATGTTGTCGAGCCTTGCGCTTCGGTACGACGGAATTTCTCGGTCAAATATTTACGACCGCCAATAACTAGGTTTATACGGCTCTATGCCATTTATGACTCTGAGTCTCCATAGAGAGCGCGCAGCCAGCTGGGACCGTGGCCAGCACGACAGGATTCCCATTGTTTTATCGATTGTCGCGGCCTCCACGGCCAAAACTTTGCTCTTTGCGCTTTGCATATGAATGAACATATTTTATTTGCGAGGTATTTATAGAGACAATCCCCCCAGCTCCAACTCGAGCCCAAATCACGAAATATGTAGGATTATGACTAACCAAAAAAAAAAAAATAAAGAAAAAAACTTGCCGTGTTTCGACTTTATCAACTTGGCACACATAAATCGCATTACATTTGGCAATTTGGTGTACAGTAAAAGTTGGCTACAACGAACTGATTTGTATTGACAATGCTGTGAAATGTAAATAAGAGACTTGTAGATTTGTTATACTACGCTCTCTTATAGGGTATATGAAGAGCCCTAATAAACAATTTGTTGAGATTGGGCTGAACTTAGAGAGAGTGAGCTGGTGTGGTCTAAAGGGGTTTGCTTGGTATTCTAACTAAATAGCTAAATTATGCATAATCATGTTCGGTTATTGTGGGTATGTAATGGAATATGATAATGTGGATCGCTGAAATAATGCCAATTAGAAATGCAATAGAGTCAAGGCTACAGGAAGGTGGGAGCGAATATAAAGAGCTATTAAAAATATACCAAAGCGAATATACAACATATACTAAACAACAAAATATACTAAATAGATTGTACAACCTGTATATGTAGTATATGTTCTTTAGTATACTATTATATAAGTCCTATATAAGGTCAAGCCATCAAAGCCCCTCTCTCTCTTTCTCTCTCTTTGTCTAACAGATACTAATATTCTCATAGAGACCCTAATTATGTTTATTGTTCAAGGGTTCACATATTCATATGTCGAATGGAATATTAAAATGGCGAATAACTCTCTTCAGTCCATACCTAGAAAGACGTTGAAGCCTTCTTATGTTTGCTTTAGTGTAGTTTCACTGTATTAAGTTTTGTGTCTTTCAACACTGCGCACCTGTAAAAGTTTCGGAGTTTCTCACAAATGACACACACATATACACAGATAAGGAACTATATCTATAGGAATATATATTGTAACACTTATATATATAGTAGATATATGCCTGAGGCCAATTGAGTTATCTTCTGGCTAGTGCCGTTGCGACCAACTGCCGTCCGTAAAGCTAAAACTTGATCTGAGCTCTGAGCGCTGTCAGAGCGAGAACTTTGGATGAGCAGCAGCTGCAGCTGCTGCTGCTGGCGCTGACTAATGGAGCGTGCCACGGAGACACAGAGCCACAGAGCCACAGAGGTCGCTGTGCAGGCGGCATTTGCAGCCATTTACAGATATTTATGATTTGTGAACATAACGATATTGGGAACAAGAAAATATTAGTTTCACTTTGATGAAGATGAAGCTTGAGCGGTGAATAGGTGAAAATGGAATACTCTAGGCAGTAGCTAAAGTGGGGTAAATGAATATCCGATTCAAGTGTTATGACATATTTCTATGAGCTCTAAGGCGAACATATTGTTTTTATTTTTGCATATTATTGTAGATATATGGGCAGATAACAAGTTTTCTATATGTTTTTAGCAGTATATGAAATCAAATTTATAGAAAACTTTTTAGGTAACAAGAATCTATAGACATGTTTCTCATTTCTATGATAAGATTAATCAATTAGTTGAAGTACGATCTATGCCTGTCTAATTGCTGTACCTACTCCTTCTATGCTGTAGCTATCATAGCTTACTGAATTGACGTTAAAGGAAATATAAAGACAGAGCTATGTAGCTGAGTCTAATATGAAACGCACTCATGATTTGGCTACGATCCCGAATATGCCCCATTTTTAATGGCCCAAGCGGTTAGGGTATCAATAGTTGTAGGCGCTGTGAGAGACACGGTTGACGGTCAACGGAATTCAATTAATTTGCAGTCAGTTAATTTCCTCTCAATTAAGAGCAACACACCAAAATTTTTGATCAACTCTACAAGAGACCAAGAGCTCAGACATTGGAAAATAACCCGTTTTTAAAGATGCGTGCACAAGTTATATGATAGAGTCTATGGACTTCGCTTCAAAATGAAAAGAAAGTTGGAAAATTGTTGTGAACAAGTTAAGTATAGGATATAAATAATATAATGGTATAATAATCTCTATCCTATGCAAACTGGAATATCCCCAAAAACAAACTTTTAGAACTGAATCACTAAACGATTTATCTCATAGTGCCAGCCACTTTTCTGCTCCGAGCGAGCATTAGGCAGTCGTTGCTTGCTTGGCATTTCGTGCCGGAAACTCACCTTCTCCTGAGTGGACTCATCCACGCCGCTGTCATTGTCACCCTCTGCAAAGACCAAATAGAAACTCAGTTAATGAAATGCGAATCAAGTTCTTCAGTCTATCAATTTTTGTTTGGGAGGGGAAATGGCTTCATTAGGCGACACGCCCACATTGAATTGAGCTCTTACTGTGACCGCCCAGCGATGTTGGTGTGACATCGAACGGTGGCTCCGTCTCCTCCAGCAGCGGCGAGCCCATGGGATCTGGCTTCATGCTGTGGCTCTTGATGGGTGTCTGGGCCTGACCCATGATGACGTCATCGTCATCCTCGTTGTGTAAGCTGCTGGCCGAAGGTGGGCGTGCCTGCTGTTGGGGCTGCTGATGCTGCATCTGCTGCTGTGGCTGCATCTGTTGCGGCTGCTGCTGCATCTGCTGCGGCTGCTGCTGCGGCTGTTGCTGCTGCTGCTGCTGCTGCGGGGGCTGCTGCTGGTTGTAGAGCTGCGGTCGAAAGGGCGCCTGCAGCGGCTGCCCGGGCATGGGCCTGGCGAACGTGGGCGGCGGACGCGTCATATTCTGTGGCGGCCGCTGCATGGGCCCCTGTCCCGACCAAGGGAAGCCACCCGGTGGTCGGGGCCCCGCCTGTGTACCGGGCGGGCTCAGAGGTCCGCTCGGGTTGGGCAGCCGGGCGGGCGGCATGCCCGGCCGCATATTGAGCGGCGGCTGCTGCTGCGGCGGGCCCATCAGATTGTTCTTGCTGTCCGTCGGACGCAATGGCGGCGGCATCGGTCTGCCCGCCATGTTGGGCGGCAGCGGTGGACGTGGCCCCATGGGACGTGCGCCGGCAAAGGGTGGGCGTGGCTGCGGCGGGCCAGCTACGGAACGCATCTGCGCAGGTAAAGCAAAGGTGGAATTGGATCGTACAAACTCGCTGTGGATGTTGCTATTGTTGCCGTTGTTGGTGTTGCTGGTGGTGCTGTTGCTGGTGGTGCTGTTGCTGTTGCTGTTGCTGTTGGTGGTGCGCTCGTTGACTCTGGATCGGCTATAGTCCACTTGAGCGTAATTGGGATTGATCACACGCGGCCCCATGTAGCGCTCGGTGTCTGCATAGCCGGGACTCGGCTGCTCCACATAGGAGCTGACCAGCTGCTTGGCGGGAGCCACTTGCTCCGGCTGCTCGACTGCTGTGGTTGGCTTGTACATTTCGTGTAACTGGAGACAGCTCAGCTGGAGCGAACCTGACGCCTGCGGTGCTGGTGCAGAAATGTGCAAGTGTCGTGTAATCCAATACCCAACTGGCTGTTGCTGCCAGCAGGCAAGGAGTGTGAGCAGGAGCAGGAGCAGGAGCAGAAGCAGAAGCAGGAGTAGAAGCAATAGCAATAGCAGCACACATCATTTGCATACGTGTGTGCTAATGGCCATGTGGTGGGTGGGCGTCTGTCTGTCTATCTGTCTGCGCTTTCAATAGCCTGTATCGAGTGGAGCTCTCGATTTTGATGGCTGCCTTCCTTGCATTTGTTTACAGTTTTGGTTTATTGTTTTGGTATTTGGCGCTGCTTTGGGTTACCTCTGTGGCACATTTGTCATGAGCCAGCGCTGGCTGCCTGCAATGTGACCCAAATCGTTCGCCTGTCGCTTATTGATTCAACAACAAAAACTGAAGCCCCAAAAAAAAAAAAAAAAACAAAAGTTCGACAATTCTAAGACCGCGCTCCAGTCAATGCGCCATTGGCCAAATTGTTGTTTGATTTTGTTTTGGCTCAGGCTTGCCAAAAAGGGTTTCTTCTCGGTTTCGGTTGCCAACACAAATTTGTTGCGACATGTCTGTCCCCACGGCCTCTCAGTGGCGTGCCGCAGCCACAGCCACAGTTACACTCGCAGGCGGGTTGCCCAAGGTCAGCCCGATATTGTCTACGAATATTAATCATATCTATTGAACTATCGAAAGCGGTTCCCGTCTACTGAATCGCACCGAATTCAACTCGATTTCGACAAATCCCATTCATATCTCAGGCTTGCAAAATTAATGTAAAGTAGGTAAATGAAGACAAGATTTTTTGTTTTTATAAGTAGCGATTTGACTCAATTAATGGAATTTGATTAGGCAGATATTTTGTTATGTTTCCTCAGACCATATGTGATATATTTATAAAGTATAAGATTACATCAAATAAATGAGTAACTTAATATTAAATAACTTTATTTAATATCAATTTCCTATTTTTCATTTTGATATTAAATTTCGTAGTGATTTGCCGTGATCCTAAGATGTTTTTCCCAAATCCTTTTCTATTTTCTTTATAACAGCTAAAATTCGAGTATATAATATTCCGGAAAGAACAAGAATGAACCCCATCATTGGTTTCCATAAGAGGTGAGAATTTGCGTTTTAAATACGAAATTTCAGAAAATCTATATAAAACCGCAAATTAAAATTTTTATATTCGTATTCCGGCCAAAAGTTCCAGAGTAGGAATTACATATTTAAGAAGAATATATGATTTTCTTGCAAACATATAATTCTAATTCTATTCAGCCTCAAAAATGTTTAAAGACCAATTCGAAACCTTTATATAAATTGTACTTTACACATATTTTTTCTTCTCGTGCAGAAACCCTTCAAAGAGCTTCACAAATATATCTTACACATGTATGTTCAGAGAATTCTCAGCGAAATCGTTAACTGGAACCGCTTCTATTCACATATTGAATTATGTTAAACAGCAAAAGCAATTGCCAACTAAATTGTTGTCTTTGGGCATAAATGAAAATAAATGTAGCTTGCTTTTGGTTGAGTTTTGTTGCTGTCGTGATTTAACTACAATTTTATGCCAAGTGCAAAAAGCCAAGTATATCTACTATATATAGATAGATAGATTCGTAAGGACTTACCGCATCGGTTTCGCTCATTTTGATGTGTTTGCTTCGAATTTTTTTTTTTTTTTTTTTTTTTTTTTGTTTGTGAGTTGTAATTTAAGCTTGGGCTGGAGCCGAAAACTTTTGCATTTAATCGATAAAATAACAATTGAGCAACTACAGAGACTTTAAGAGAATACACTATATTATGTATATAGTATATGTCCATATATATATGTATATGTATATGTTTATCTAGATCCGATCTAGAGCTGAGCCTTGTGGCTGCTGGCGCGTCGTGGCCTTCGCACGTGCAAAGTGGCAACTGAGTGAGTGGCAACAACTGCGCCGAGGCGCCACACGGTTGCAAGCCAACTGCTCGCCCTAACCACTTAAAAAACAAAATTCGAAAAAACAAAAGTCAGCCGCAAATTAGTTTGCCCCCAAAAATGATTTGTTTTCTGCTGCAGAAATTCCATGTCAACTGCCACACAGTGAGAGAAAGAGAGTGAGAGAGAGGGAGAGAGAGAGCGCCAGTCATTCATAGACAGAAAGAGAGAGCATGAGTTGTGGCCCACTAAATTGATTATCAACAATTGTCGGCCGGGGCTGACGGTTCGTATACTCGATGTCCGCAATGACTGCGCATTTGCCTGGCATAAATGAGGCGAGGCTAAACTTTTGCGGCTTTCTAAAACCTTTTTCTTTTCAATTAGAATTCTCCCGCTTTTTCGCCAAGTGCATGAAGTGCAAATGCAAATGTCAATGTATATGTAAATGTATCTGTGTATGCAACTGCAACTGCAACTGCAAATGTTAACAAACTTTGCAGCAAACCCAATTGATTTTTGCTGTCAAAGTTTTTCGGTTTCTTTTTATGGTTCTCGCACAATCGGGCAATGCAGTTGCGCGATTTTATCACTCAGCCATGCACTGAGCGAAAGATGGGAGTTGCTTGCGTAAAATTTTAATTCCCTATGAGTTCACTTAAAATCGAATTGGCAAATAGAAATCATTTGCCCAAAAATTGTATTTAAAATTAGCTCATTAATCTATAAATTTGATATAACTTATCAAATTAAAAATTTGACGCCGCTAGCAACTTAGAATTTTCTTAAAATTGATGGAACATAAATCATAATAGAATCTAAAATATCTGTTGCTCTTCTACACTTAGTTTCCTTACTTTTGATGGAATGATGCCTTAGCTTGAAATTAATTAACTTTAATTGAATTTTCAGTTTTGATTTGCTTTATGCATGAATTTGAATTAAATTAAATTTCAATTGTTAATGCAATAAAAAATATTATAAAAAATATTTTTTCATTAAAATCTTAATTGCTTTAGATTTTGTATATTTTTATTTTATTATTTTAGTATTTTTTTTTATTTACTTATTTATTCTATTTATATTTATTCTGTATTATTTTATTTTATAAATATTTTTTTTTTTACTTATTTATTCTATTTATATTTATTCTGTATTATTTTATTTTATTAATATTTATTCTATTATTTTATTCCATTAATATTTATTTATCATTATTAACATTCGTCTTATAATTAATTAAATTTGAAAAAGAAAGCTCAATTTTAGTTTATAGTAAAATTGTTAGTTCATTTTGGAATTTTTTTTTTTTAAATTTGTAAATGAAATATAAGTGAATGCCTAGCTGAACTATTTTTGCTCTGCATTTAAACTAGATCTCTGGTCCTCTTTCTATTTGCCCACAATTTTTTCTCAGTGTAGCCCAATGGGCACTTTACAACACGAACTCAATTGTTATCATTTGTTGCAGTTGCCCATAAAGAACAACAACAGCAACAACAACAACAACAACATCAACAAACTGCAATTTTATCGATTTTCCAGCTTGGCCAAAGGGCATTAACTGAGCCGCGTTAAGGCTAATGCACTTTGCACTTTGCACCCTTGCACCTTTGCACGTTTTCACTTTGCAGTTTGTCTAAAAAGTTAAGACGACTGCAAATGCACTTACACACACTTCAGTTTGACATGTATGGTATAACTATGTATGTATCTCTCTTCTCTTTCTTCTTTGTTTTGTTCTTTTGTTTAATTTGACTCTTTTTGTGTTCAGTTTTTCAGTTTTGATTGTTTTTGGCTAAAACGTCAACGCCGCGCTGCGTTCTGTTTGGCGCGAGTGTTGAAACTCGACTGCTTTTATTTGCTTTGAAAAACTTTCGAATTACAATACTTAGAATTTGTTTTGGTTATGCCTAGGTGTGTGTGTGTGTGAGTGTGTGTGTGTGTGAAAGCCTGAAATGTCCTTGCGCAGTTCGAGGCTCTCGCTTGTTGGCCGCGTCTTGGCACACACTCGGCGTATACTCTATTCGGCTCGTCTATCCCATTGGCATAGAAATTTATTTGTGGGTCGCCCCAACCAAATGCAAATCCAACACGCCAACAATTGTAGCCCACAGTTAGCTGCCCCCCTTTAGTCGCTGCCCAGTTCGTAGTTTTTATGCAAATCTCATTTGAGGCTTGATTAATTTTATGGGCACAAGGAGCGCATTAGACGCGCCTCTGTGCATTGCCCGCGCCAGTTCCTCGATTAACGGTGCTGTTCAGGCTTAACATATACCGAAATACGTGCATGTGCGAGGTGCGTTCGAGAGTTTTTTTTCGAACTCAAAGAAGGAAAATGAAAAGAAAATGAATAGAAGAAAATGAGATCTGACAAACTGAAGAGAATAAATAGGTATGACAAATATTGCAGAATCTCTCAATAGAAAATGTGGATTAAACAACTAAAGTGAACAAATTGTAGAAGCTCGAGAATTTAGCTAATAATAGGAATGAGAGAGAAACTCTTTACATACATATATGTATATTTGTTGTATACTTAACATATAAAATTTGCAAGTTTGTTTCCACTTTAGTTATTTGATCTCTAATCCGTGGACTAAGTTTAGCAGCAACCCTCGCTGGCACATGAATCGCAGCTGGACTGCGCTACAGGCACCGCCTGCCACGCACTGGCATTGCCATTCGGATTCGAGCTCGATTGTGAGCAGACAATTTTAGTGGTCGTTGTCTATTATTCAGGTGTTGTTGTCATAGGTTCCTTGATTTGTTACTAATTGTTGTACATATTATATTTAGAAGCGAGCAACACGCAAGGCTCTTTCGTTCACGGTCTCCTGCTCATGCTGCACAGGGATCGGGGCCGGGCCGGGACGGGCGGGGCAGGGCAGGGCGAGGTTAGACGATGTTATTTGTGTTTGCTGCGGGGGTGTCTATTGCATGTTGCGTTAACTTTAATGTATGTGCCTAGTTAGGCTTTGTTATCGTTATGCTTAGTAGCCCATCCGATTGTCAAGGTTATTATGTCTGCACCTCGTTCACTGTTTCTCTTTTGCATTCGCTGTACGGGGCTTAAGGGGGCTGGACTTAGCAATTGCTGACTTAGCTAATGACCGGCTTAGTGGCTTACGAATTTCAATTTCTTGCGCAAGCTGATGCACTTCTAGAAATTTTGGGACCATACCAGCTTTTATCATTTAAATTCAGTTTTAGATTTATGTTTTATTGGTTTTATTGATATTAATAGCTGCATAAAATATGTGTACATACATTTTTAACAAAATGTGTTTAATAAATACATACCACCTTAATGAAGCCAATTCATATAAGTTAAATGTCAAGTTTTCAATTACCTGTAAAGAAAATAAATTTTGCATTTCAGTTTCATTGTTGTCAATTATTAAGTTAAAAGCGCCGCACAGCGGCATTGCTGCGTACTAAAACGAGCTTCTGCATTTGCTCTTTGCTGCTGGTTGGTGTCTAAATAAATGTGCTAAAAAACTACGCATGTTGTGTGGAAAGCTAAGCGCTAAGGGGAAATGCTCTATGCTGTAAATGTACGCACACATTCACACACATGCACACACCCAAGAGTATCAGCCGCACACAAATACCGGGGGTGGCTCTGCCGCTGCCGCCTCTACTGCTGCTGCTGCGGCTGCTTGTGCCTCTGCTGTTCTTCTGCTGCTGTTTGCTACTGTTAAAGCCGCCAGCAGAGTATTCGTCTCTCTTTCACACTTTCATTCTGTATTCGGCATTTGCTTTGTTTTTGTTTTCCTTTTGGTTTCTGTGTTTTCTTCTTTTTTGGGGTTGCGCTTCTGTCGGTATCTATCGGCATTTTTGTTGGCTTCCCTTGGCGGACATTAGTATATTTGTATCTCTATATAATACACACTGATGTACCCTATATATGGATGTATGTATATACTAAATACATATGTATGTACATATGTGGTATCTACATTAATTTTCCTTTCACTAAGTTCATTGATTATTTTAGCTGTTTTATGACAAAGTTCATTTCATATTTTTAAGCAGATGCCGCCAAGTGCCACTTGAGGAATCTCCCAAGATGCGTCCTCAATGACAGTTCTCTATACACGCGTGTGTATGTGTGCAAAAGCTTTGTGCCACTGCGCATGTATGCGTTAACAGCCCCTTAAAGGCTGCGGCGCAATAGATGAATCATATATGTCGTATCTGCCCAACAGGCAGTCCTGCCTAAAGCAAATCGCTTAAATATAAAATCTGGTACAGCACTAGTTCAAGGAACAAAGAACTTGGAAAAGACTTGAAACATCTCATGAAACAGATGTATAAATTATAGTAAATTTTGTAAGATTTTTTGTTTGAAAATTATATTTTTGTGTGTTTTATTTCCACTAGACATTTTTAGCAATTAGTTCTATATTATCTTTTGATATAGAATTTTTATGATTTATATATATTTTAATTGTTTTTACTTAATTTGCTTTTATACTTTATTTATTTCTTTTTCAGTTTTGGTGTTTGTCTATTTTTTTTTTACCTATTTGATTTACTTACTTTAGGAACACAATTGCCATTGATATAGGTAATACGATAAGATATCTAGGGACTTAACTGACTTTCTAACGTAATGTATTTAAATGAACAAAAACCTATATTTAATTACTCAGCCCATATCTAGCTGTCTCTATCTATAACGAGGGCAGTTCAAACATTTAACGGTAGACCTTAAATTTTTATTTGAAATATGTATGATTATTTCTGAAAAGTTTTCCAAAAAATAAGAATGCTTAGTAAATCAACTTTCACTTTTAGTTCTCTTATCTATTTTCATAAAGTTCTTTCACGTTTCAAGCAGCCCGCGCCAAGGTGTCAAGGGTATTTCAAGTGCATCAACTTTAACTGTATTCAACTGTATATTCAGTTAGCTGTTAATTTATCAGCTGACGATATTTATAGCTTCTCCGACAGTTGGACCTAAAAACATTTGTAGTTTTGACGCACTTCGATTATTGATTGCCACAAAATGTGGCAACTGCGTGGCACGCACGCAGTGCTGCCCCAAAAGGCGGCCAATCACAAATATGGCCAGGCCATAGCGAGAACAACAAATTATGCGACAACAGCGATGCCAAATGCGGCTACATTGGGTAACCAGACGAGCCGCCTAGAGGCGGCTCGAGACGACTCCAGACGTGGCAGCTAAGCCAAGCTGGGCAACGATCTCTCTCCCAGCGGCAGTGGCGAAAGTGTTGCCCGCTGTTGGCCGTAATGTACCACATGAAATCTGTGAGCGCTCTGACCGAGTTTAATGAACTGGCCATGGGCCTGATGGCCTGGTGTGGGCGGGGCTGGCTGGGGCTGTGCATACTCTTAAGGGTTGAGTTGGTTCGTCTGCTTAGGGGTGGCTGCTATTGCAATTTGCGTGCCAAGCGACACTTTGTTAGAGAGCAGAAAACAATTAAGGCAACACCCAGAAGGAGACTCACACACACACACACACACACATACACAGCCCTTTGATGTCTTTATTAATCTGTGGCCAAAATGTTATTGATCAAACTTTTAAATGCCAAAAATGTAAAAATACTTTAAAATACTTTAAATTAATTAATAAAGTGTGCAAAGTATGCGGCATTTCCAATTAGCATTCACCTGGCACACACTCACACACACACACACACACACACATGAGAACTTAATAAATGTTGTTTTGTGCGCGCTTTTCATATTAATTTGTTGCTTCACATCGAGTGCAATTGGACAAGCCCTAGCCCCTCGCAAATGGATTTGTGGGGCGCCACTTTGCATGTAAATTATGTTAGCATTAAGGGTCATTCCACAGACACACATACACACACATACACACATATATACTCATATATATATAGACATATATACACACTTTTCGATTTGGCACAGATTTCATGCTTTTCTATTCTAGTTCTGCTCGTCACGTTGTAAAGATCTACAATTGATGTGTTTGTATCGCAATGACTGACTTCTAAATACTCTGTATTTTGGGTATTATGAATAAACACTGCAATGGCTGACTGTCGATTACCCTAGAAATGTCAAATATTAAGTAGCCGTTATATTGACTGAATATCCGGTATTCGGCAAATTTCCTATTGTAAATTGGCATTGCAATGACTGACAATCGGATACCCTAGCAAGTTATATATAGATTTCTCAAAAGTTTCCCCTATAGAAATTCAAATCAATACAAATTCGGATTTTTTTTTTAGGAATTTTCTAAACGAATCAGTGAAAATTATTTTGAAGTTTGTATTCCTTATACACTCCATAACAATAATTCATTTACTACATCAGTTCCAGTTGAAATTTTGATTAGGCCATTATAATTGGATTGGACCTATGAAGAATTTAATAGAAAGAATATTGCAATATTTACAATAGTCGTAAATCGTAAAGTGAATACACAAAATGCACTTAATCATCATACTTGTCGTATTTGGCACATTATATGGAACGATTAAAGCTGAGGTAATATCAAGGATGTATTATACCAATAACACTTATCGATAACATGACTATTGCAGAACGTAAAGGAACTGCAGGCGAAATTGGACACGCTGGACAAAGAGAATGCAGAACTGAAGGCAGAGCAGGAGAAGCTCCAACATCAAGTAGACGAATATGACAAAAAGCAGAAAGAAATCGCAGATCTAGAAAAAGAGCTGGACGTTTGTCAGCCTAGTAGCAGAGCAGATGCAGCGAGTGCACAGAATGGCAATGCCACGATGAACAGCGTTGTTCTGCCCAAGTTCTTCAATAAAAACCGTAAAAAGTTTCGAACGGCAGAGGGTCGCAGACATCTGGTTAATTGCCTCATCAACCTATCCACTCCGTCAAGATATAGCTGTGTGCCGTACATGCACTTTACGGGCGCCCAGGCTATAACGATGCCCGGCGAAGATCCAATTTACGTTAGGTGCGATGGCCAAACAGCTGGTTCCGGCTGGCTGATCATTCAGCGCCGTGTTTATGGGACCGAAGACTTCTATAGGCCTTGGGAAGAGTATCGACGTGGTTTCGGAAAGATGCTTGAAGACTCCTTTCTGGGATTGGAAAATATCTATAAACTAACCAACTATCAGAGATTCGAGCTGTTTGTGAAAACCGTGAGCTTTGCAGGTAAAGTTAACTGGGCCCGTTACAGCGATTTTCTCATCGGCAGCGAGGATGAGTCCTATGTGCTGAAGAGCGTTGGCGAGTTTTCGGGCACTGAAGATGTTCTATCGAGAAATGTGAACAGTAAGTTCTCCACCTACGACAGAGAGAGCAGCCCCCGCAATCTATCGCAAAAGTATCACGGCGGCTATTGGTATATCGAAAATGGTTTGCAAAGCAGGTGAGTTCCTCAATATTGATTACCTATCATTACTGATTAACTAATATATATGAATATTAATTGCCTTTCTGTTTGTCAATTAGCAATCCCAATGGTAAATACTTAAAGCATCCGTACCATTACTCGTATGGCATGCATTGGGCAACAACAGAGAGCGAGAAATCCGTCAAAATGATGATTCGTCCAGTACTGGGATGAGACTCTCATTGATTTGGCAAAGTCGTAAAAGAAACTCTTACAAAAATAATAAAATATTCAAATAATCGACCGAGAATACTTTATTGTGAATCAAATGAACTCAAGATGATTCATTGAGGCCTTAAAATATTGCAAACCAAAACTATAGACTTTTCTCGATATTTCACAGAATTAACCAAGCATTTGGCTACTCTAAAGAAACATTTCTAATGCATTAATGCCTGACTTTTGAATACCCTATATAGAAAACATTTCACTGACAACTGTCAGTATGTTGGATGGAACTTGAGATGAGAATATGTAAGGTCGACTAGAAGCTAGTTGCGAATGGTGGTCAAAATTTGTATGGAAAATATTCAACTGAAACGCAACGAGATCCTTAAACATTTTAATATATTCTGTATGTGTGGGATTTTTAAGCTTAAAGATTTAGCATAGGTTTCTGGAAACCCTGAGTTCGAGCATCATTATTTTAAAGTTTTTTAATTTTTAGTATTTTGTACACGCTTTAAGGCCTCAGACCGGACGCTATACTATTTTTGTTTGTTTTAAAATCAGTCCATAATTGGAACGAATGACGTTAAAAATGTTGTAGCAAATAGATTTACGCTTCATAAAAAATCCGTCGCAGCTACAGTCGAGCCTAAGCATATTAGTATCAAGCGCCGCAACATTTAGTTACTTAAAACACTTTAGGCGGCAATGCAATATGAATAAAATCATATTCTGGGTGCTATTCGTATCGTTTCTGGGATTTATCAGAGCTGCTGGCGAAGCGGTAATAGCGACAATATCTCCTAAGACATAATCTGATAAATAATTTACGTGTAATACAAGCTATTATATCTGATACAAATCTGTATTCGTTGCAGCCCACAGAGAAGGATGTGCAGGCGCTTTTGGATAAGGCGACAAAGCTTAATCATGAGCTCAAGGCAAAGAATACTAAGCTCAAAGACAAAGTAAAGTCGATTCAAAAAATGGACGAGGGGCTCAAAACGTTAAAGAAAAATATCGAAAATTGCAAACCAAATGGCTTGGATAGAAGTGCAAATGTTCCAAAGGCCTACCGCTCCCCACTGTATAAAGCCTTGTTGAAACGAAATCCGAATTTGAAATTCGAAACAGTTCAAAAAGAGCTGGTAACCTGTCTAAAAAAATAAACAGATAATCATAGAGGTGATCTGTCATCTAACATCTATTTGGCATTATTACTGGGTGGACTCTGGGAGTCTGCTGCTGGTATTCTTTATCCCAATACATGATATGCAGTAGGATCCGTCGTTATGCCCAGCAGATGCTAAAACTATATAAGTTTGTCGGAGTTTTTATATATATATACACAATTCCAGTTTGTCCATCTCGAAATTTGTTGGAGCTGAAAAGTTGCTGCATGAGTCTGAGCACAAAATAAAATTAAGAGTAGGATATTAATATCCCCAACAGACAGATCGAGCTATACTCGTAACTGTGAAAATGTTGAAGCATATATATAGTTGTTATAGGACTTGCTCATGGACAGAAAAAATACAGATAGAAAGAGCCAAACAGATACATATACAGCTACAGAAAGAAGGAGAGAGATTGAGTGAATGCGTGAATGAGTATAGTGAATAAATCATAAGCGATCTCTGCAGTCTAGGATATTTTCTAGTCGATCAGCAAAAGATTTACTCCTTCAATTTTACAGTTGTCACCTCTTCAGTTTCAACTGAAAATATATCTCTAATAGCGAAACTCTAAAAGCTTATGTACTTTTAGTTTTTGGTAGATTGACTTTTCCATGAGTTTCAAATCGAAAGGTATTTTCAATTATTTTACGAGCAGAAGCGTGCATCAAGAATAAATCAATTAATCGTGAAGCAAATTAAACATAATCTCCATATATGGGCTGCACGCATGTCTACCTAAAATGTACACCATAGATTTTGATAGACTTTCGTGCTTCATTTGCTTTCAGTCGACAGGGCGTGGCAGCAGCAGAAAGAGCAGCAGTAACAACAAGAAAACTCATATATGGCGCTACATTTCTAGAAATTAGATAGATTTTCGTGTTTTAATAGCGGATGCCACAGCAATTAGCAGAGACTTCTGAAAAACTGAGGGAATTTCAGCACTTAGGCGGCATACTCTGTTAAGTAAGAGTATATTGGAGCTACAGAGGATGCAATTCTCGTTATATGGCTATGGATGTGGACATCACAATTTCTAATCGGATAGCCACCTTTGCTCTAGGAATGTAAGTCTAGAGCGAAGGAAAGTGCAAGAGGCACCAATTCTCGCACAGCTGGCAAGCAAAATTGTGTTAATTGAAGACAAATACTAGGTAAGAAGTGTGGCTGACAGAATTGCAGTCAAAGTTATCTATTTATAAACCAGAAGAGCATAATCATGCTCTCTCTCTCTCTCTCACCCTCTCTCTCTCTCTCTCTCTCTCTCTCTCTCTCTCTCTGTCTTTTCTCTGCGTCTTTGCTCACTCTTACGATTTACAAAGTAAGAAGCACATAGAGAGGACTCTGTCCACACTTATCTACAGCGTGTGCAAATATAGATTGATGCAAAGAGTTCAATATTAAATAAACATTAACTCAGGTAAAACAAAAATTGAGCATATAAATGAATGTAGACAAAATGCAAAGACAAGCATCCTTTGTCGAATAGTGTCTGAAATTGCAGAAAATCTCGTTTGCCTCAAGCTTGAAGCTGTTTTACATACCTCTATTTCTATCATACTTTTATAACTATCGCGCTTAGACTATCTTAATAATATTCCTGTTCGTTAAGAAACCTTTCGATCCAGGGATCTTTTCTTTTCTAAATAGATATAGCATTAGAAAGGAAATCAAAGATGTTAATTATCATGGCTTATATACCGTTAAGTTAATATTCATTTGACAGCTACATCTCTATGGCAACTAATCTTGATCAAAAATATATACCTTTCTATATATATATATATACATATATATGTTGGCATATCGCACGATTTTATAATAATATCTGATGTAAGGGTATATGTAATCATAGTATATTTGAATTATAGATTGTTATATACATAGTTCAAACCGAAGTAGGTGACGCTGACGTCGACGCGACGATGACTTCATGTGAATGACACAGCTGTGTAAATGAGAGAATGTGAGAGTGCGGTAATGCGAGAATGAGAGATGGAGAGCACGAGATAACTGATAGCAATCAGCAACAATATTTATTTATATTTTTAGTCGGTTTTTGTTTTCTACTTGTTGTTGTTGCTATTAGTTTATGTTATTTAGAACTAAGATAAAAGAGCACAAAACAATAACAATTGTTGTTGTTGTTGTTGTTGTGGCTATGATTATTTAACCGAGCCGGTTTGCACTTGCGTTGAGCATTTGATTTAATCAGCGTCAGAGGTAACATAGTGAATGGGACAACACAACGACCACAATGTAGCACAGTGTAAAAGTGCGAGTGAATGAGAGCGAGAAGTAGATAGAAGAAAGAGAGAGAGAGAGAGAGAGTGAGAGAGAAGAAGAGAACGAGAACTAATGAAGCTAACAGAAGCCAAAGACTTATATACCCACTTCAACAATATGAAAAGAGGAACACCAATTGCAAACCCATCAAGAATATGGTTTGAATTTTACTCTTAAATGTCAATTTTTACATAATATATATACTATATAATAATGTGATCTGATAAGCAAACCTACAAAAACATGAATCAAAACAAATGCAGTTTTATTTATTTTCATTTTAAGTTTCGTTTTCGGTTGAACGTTTTAATAATATTCCTAGACAGATTTTTATTTAGTCAGCGTTTGGGCCCAACGCATGCGTTCAGATGAATTACAATGACATAAAGATACCATCAGCGAAACTAGCTTAATTGAAACGAGGTCATCTGCAGAGTACAGACCGCAAACAGCGAGAGCAGCAGCATCAGCAGCGGATGAAGAGTAGCAAGAGACGAGCAGTTCGACGGAGCAACGTTCAGGGGCAGAGCTAGAGGTAGAGGCTAAGACAGAGGCAAGGGCAGAGGCTTAGTCTAAGATCTTTCCCTTCAGGCCGGAGCTGGGACTGGCACGGGTAGATTCAGTGGACGAAGCGGGAGCTAGTCGGAAGGGCAGAGCTAAATGCTGAATCAACAGTAGATAGGATCAGCTATACAAGTAGGGCCGGGATCAGGGGCCGGGACAGATATTCGTGGTGCCGATAACTAAACTGGGGGAGTGGCAAACGCAGGGACAAGAAAAGGGGCATAGACATGATTAGAGACGGTAGGTGGAGCAGAAGCGAACGGAGTAGCGGGCAATGCTTAGACAACTTCTGTTACCGTTAACAACGGATGTTAGCTGCACAATGCATGCGAGGCACAATTAAAACGCAGCTGACAGGTCGTTGCGCCCATGCCACACTCGCCAGACAATGGCTGCCACATCCTGTGGCACATCCCGCCCGGCTGATGCCCGATGATAGCGGGCTTAACTGCTGAGTGCCCGCTCTTCAGACACGAACATTAACATTAAGCCCAAACAACTCTTTTTCAAAGCCGCTCGACAACTGTGCAAACAGCTACAATGGAAATGTTGTCCGAGTATCGCAAGAAGTGGAATGCACTATATAATGTCTTACTTAATGTGTATAAATGTATATATATACTCGTAACTAAACTGCAATTGTCATATGAGTAAATTCAGATTTCCATTGGTGAAAGATCGATATATGTATATTTGGGTGTATATCGGCTTAGGTCAATTTAAGTTGAGCTCAGCTAGTCTTATAGAAAATTCAGTTCTCAATGAATTTTTCATAACAACTACATATCATTATATGTACATTTACATACATTTATATATATATCGATATCAGTAAACTAAACTTTAAATTCCAATGGATCTTTGCCTTTTTTTTCTCTCTTTTATATTTAATACTCCATCGTGCTCGGTTCAGCACATATTCGAAACCCAAATTAGCGTACCCTTCGTTAGGGTATACAAATCTATTTGCATAACAGCTCAAAGCAGCCAGAAAATATGACGTGAGCTGGTGTTGGTGGTGCGCTGGTGGTGCTGTTGATGGCATTCGTGGTGCATGTTTGGCCAACATAACCATCAGTGTGCCGGGGTGTGCCAAACACTTTGACTAATTGAGCGATAGATACATAGATACATATCGACGATTCTCAGCTACTGCTCTGCTACTTAATTGATTTGCGGCGTGTTAACATCGCGTATGAGTAATGTGTGTCAGCTCACCTTTTTGCTCTTGACCAGCGCGTGCCGCGGAAGCCGGCTCCGGCTTCTGTTGCTGCTGCTGTAGTTGCTGCTGTTGTTGCTGTTGCTGTTGCTGCTGTGGCGCTTCCTGTTGCAGCAACACGGGCTGCACTGGGCGCGTTTCGGGCATTGTGGACACCGCAGCTTCCAGCACAGAGCTTTTCTCCATGACATCCGCCATATTGAAAATGCCTGTATGTTTATATATGTATGTGTTTACTTATATATTTATATATGTGTGTGTGTATGTGTGTGTTGCACTTAGTACAGGACTCTTTTTTTTCTGGCCCGCTGTATGTACTCTTTTCTGTGTTAAATTTAATATTTTCTGCACCACTTTTCTTGCTTCACCTTTTCACACTTTGATTTCGCTTGGCTTTTGGAATGCTTTAGTTGCGTTCTTTTATTTTTTAAATAGTAATGTCGCAACAACAATTATTAGAATAACAATATTTAACAATAATAATGCTGATATAATTTTGTTTCTTTTCACTTTTTGCACTTTGCTCTGGTTTTTCTGCTCAACTTTCGTGTATTTGTTTTAGTTTTCTTAAATTTTGCCAATGCAATTCTGCTGAGAGCGTTTGGCACTGCGCTTCGTATCTTTTGGGTTTGTTATCTCGTTTTCAACTGATTTTCAGTTCGGTTGAAATTCCTAATTAACGTCTGCTCGGGCAGAGGCGCAAGCTATGCGAAAGCTTTAAATTTAGTACACGCGCAGGGGCAAAGCTGAGAAAGCTTTTCCTAACAATAGGACAAGCGCCATCTGTCGGCCTTCTGCTTAAGTGTGTTTCACCTTTTTCACACGAACTTTTATTTAAAAAATTTTTAAAGGTTTTTAATTCGTATTTAATTTCTTTATTTTTATTGTTTTATCAATAGAAAATATTAAAATGTTTATTTCAATAAAATTTTAATATATGGCTGAAATAGAGGGTTCGCAAAATATATTGCTTGAGACGAAGTGTACTCGCGTTAGATATATTAAACAAATTTTTAATGCCTTATTTACAGCATACATTAAAACATTATTTTTATAGTTATTTAAGACAGAAATGAGGCTTCAAGTTTGAAAAAGGCAAATTAAAAAAGCTTTTTTTATTTTTAAATTAAATTGATTAAAAAGGCGAAAAATAAAGCACAAGACTGCAAAATTTTTAACTATTAACTATGATCGGAACTAAACCTCCTTAAAGTCAGTTTATAGAGGAGCCGCACAGAGTAGCTTCAAATATTTCAAGTAAAGAGCATAATTTTTAATTTCATATGCTCAGAGTATGTTTTAGTACTTCAATCAATATGAAAAGCTGTATAAACTAGCCTCGTATGAATGGCCAAAAAACAGATAAATGTTGTATGAATTTAAGCACCAATTCACATTTGGTATCTGTCTACTTCTTCCATTTACCATCGTTGTTTAAGCTGAAGAGAGTATTGCTCTATATTGTATATAGGTCTCCACGACCTATTCCGAATTGGTTAGAGTATAGATGGCTAAATATCTACAAATGCACTGATTTGGCTAACTTGCTTATATGCATCTGTTTTAAAGCTAAAAAACCGAAAAAAAATACATAAATTATCAAACAACAAAATAAAATAACCAACGAAATTTTTTTTTCATTTTTTTGTTTTCGTTTTGATACGTTTGTTTTATAATTTAAATTTTTTTATTTTTTAAAAAATAATATTATCTTGAAGTTCAATTTTTGCAGTTGTAGTAGCAGAAGTAAAATTTAATTAAAATAATATACGAGAGAGAGATAGAGAGAGTTAGCGATGAATATAACATCTATGGAGAATGGCTGTTTGCTATAAATTTATTGTTGTTGTTGTTGAATTGTTGTTGTTGTTATATTTATAGCTGATCTGGTCTGTCACACATTCTGGCGAGGAATGCTAAAAGATGAGAAAGAGTACTTTTATTAGAAGTGTAATATAATTATAGAGAGAGAGAGAGAGAGAGATAGAGAGAGCGACAGAGAGAGACAATCGATCACAAAGAACAAGAGAACTTACTGTTTAGTCGAAGACGACGGGATCGCTCATCAAGCGCTGGATGAACTCTGCAGGAGCGGTTCATCGATGTCAACATACAGGTGGTGGTGCAGTGCAGTGGTGCAGTGGTGCAGTGTGTCACACAAAAGACGCGCACATTGACAGAGTGGACGGGAGAGTGTGTTCAGAGTGCATTTCGTTTGAGTGTTTGAGTGATAGAACAACAAGTTGGCGTGTGTGTGCGAGTGTGCGAGTGTGGGTGTGTGGGCGTGTGTGTACATGTAAAAGATACAAATAACATTATGTAGCACTGACACATAGACAAATGGAACAGATAACAAGCTAGACAAGTTCTACTTACGAGAGTATGGGATCATGCCCTCATCATCCTCGGGATCCATGCAGTCAGCGAACAGAGTCTCAACCTGCTCATCATCCAGGGACTCACCTGATAGAAAGAAGTAACAAGTTAGCGTCAATTATAGCTAGGGGCCACAATAGATTCCATTTACCAAGAGCCAGCAGGGCGTGCTGCAACTCAGCGAGCAGCATGGTGCCATTCTCCTCCTTGTCGTACAGCTTCAAGCACTCAATGAAATCCTCATAGCAGCCCTGCTCCTTCTCCTTCTTCACTTGCGAGTATATGGGCAGGAATTCCTCCAATTTGATCTTCTTCTCGTTGCGCTTCTTGGTGCCGCCCATTTTCTCGATCAAAGCGAGCGTGGGGTTCAAGTTCAGAGCGCGCAGAGCATCGCCTAGATCGACGGCATCGATGCCCTCACCGGGGGAGCCCATAACTTCGAAAACGAATTCGACATCTGTCCGAAAGGAAGTTTGGATAAAAGCATGATTAATGATTACTGTACGAAACTATATATCGATAACAAATTTATTGATTTGTTTTGAATTCAATTGAAAACATTTTATTTATTTATGAAATCATTTGAAATCATTTGATTGAGGTCAAATTCAATAACCCTGAAACTAAGGCTACGCACATTTTTGGTCATCTTTCACATTACACAGAGTGTGTATGTGTGTGTGTGTGCGTGTGTGTGCATGTGGGCGCCTTGCCAAAACACATACTTCATATACATAGACGTATACGTAATTCGACACTCGAATATCTCAGCATATGCTATACACTCACGCACACATGTACACATACATGAATTTGTATATGTATGTATCTGCTCTTTGGCAGTGCGTTTCAACAGAAATAAATTTGTTGAAATAACTTGGCCAAAATTAGATCGTGCGCTCTTCTCATACATCTTTAAATATAAATATATATATATTTATATATATACACACACAAATATATACATATATGTATATATATTTACACAAAATTTTCCATTGTTGTTGCTTAGAATTTCTTGAGATTTTCTGGGCTTATAACATTCACAGTCTTTTCAAAGAACTTTTACTTCCAGTTGATATCTATAGACATATAGCTATCCATATGTGTATATCCATATATGCATATATATTTTTTTCGCAATGATTACGAAACATATTTTTGCCAAATATCCATCGCAGATCCATGTGCTTTTGCTTTCTATATGTATATGTATTCGTACATGTATATGTATGTATATATGAAGTTAGTCCTGTATAACACACGCACACATTATGTAATCACTTTCTGCAGATAAAATCACATTTGAAAATCTTTATATAGATCTATTGATGATGTCTATATCATTTTATCTAGTTTTATTTCTAGCTTCGAATTTCATATTTTTAATATACTTGATGTTTTTTTGTGATATCTTCTTTGAGGTTAGAATTGTAATCCTTTGTTGTCTGGTTTTTTCTTCAACTTACTTTCAACTTCACGCTTTGGAACATCAGCCTGTGTGTTTGAAGAGTAGAAAAATAATTTTAGTTTTTATTTTATTTCAATATATATTTTTTCACACAGGGTTTTCTGTATATATATATTTTTTTTTTCTTCCATTTTTATGTAAAATTTTCGATTATTTTTCAATTGGCTGATTTCACTCACCATTTTGTCTATTGAATGCGAAAAGCAACTGTATCGCGGATGAGCTCGGTCTCGACTGAACGCTATTCGTCAGTGGCCGCACGGCAAGATAATGTGCTAAGGTGATGCTGACCAGCTCACACACACACACACACACACACACACACACACACACACACACACACACACACACATTTAGATCTAGAAAGAATTTACTTTCATCTGGGCAACATTTTCCAATAGACTCTCTCTCCCTCTCTATCTGTGAGCCAATTCTCTCTCTCGCCCTCTCGGCGTGTATGCTCTCTGCTACTTATTTCTATTTTTAAGATATATATATATCTATAGATGTGAGACTTTTCCGATATATGTGCCTGCAAAATAATAATCAGTTGTGGCATCGTGTTGAATATCATTTGATGTTAAAGATAATATCTCAGGCGCTTATTGTGTTTTGCCAGAGATAATATATGTATGTAGCATATATATATATATTATATATATTTATATAGTTTTTTAGATATTTAGTATCTGACGACCCTGATCGTCCGTTTGGCAAGCGAAAATCGCATTTTATTGAATCTTCTCTCTATCATTGAAAATGTTCTTTTGGCTCTTTTGTAGTTTCTATATATACATACATGTTATATGCCTAAAAAACACCTGAATAGCTTTGAAAATATGTAATTTGTTTGAAATCTTTTTCGCCTGTCATCCATCTCGCTCGCACAATATCTCTAGCTCTCATCTACATAGAAGGCGTATTACTGGGAGTCCCATCCAATTGTGTTTCTCTCTCTCTCTCTCTCTCTCGCACAACAAAATTTTGTTTTTTGTTTTTTTTTTTTGGTTCATTTTGAATGCGGTGCTATTTATAAAAACTATGACACAGATACACCAAATTGTATTCAGAGCATTCATCTACAACGCATATCCGAACTATATTCCTATATACACACACACGAGTGTTTGTTTATACACATATGTATGCATAAACATATACATACATATATAGCTTTAAGGAAGTTTGTATTTAATAGACTTGCTGGCTGATTGAGCAATCAACCCAGGAATTTGGCATCTAATTGGCAGCGTTGTTCTTGGTGGTTGCAGCGCTGACCTCGTTTTGGGCTCAGCTGTTCAAGCCAAGGCTTTTGCCGCGCAGCCTCAGAGTGGGCCACAACCTGTTGCTGCATGTGGCACAGAGGCCGGGTTTTTATCATATGTACGTGTTGCTCTACGGCAGCTTGTGCGGACGAAGGGGATCATCATAAATGAGGCTCTCAGCCGTGTCAACATCTGTTCAGTGCTCGGATGCCCGGATGCTCGGCTTATGAATATGGACCAATTGTGCGCAGTGGCAATTGCGCAGCTCATTGATAAAAATATGTTGCAGATTGTTGCAGACGACAACGAATACACGAATTGAACGAGTTTTTAATAAAACGTAATCTCAAGGAAAGCTCTACAGTCAGTGGCCAACATGAAGATCCCTCGCATAAACTAGCATATGATACTCAATGTGCATATACATATATTTGATAATAAATATATATTACTTGATAGTATAGTATATATATTATTTGATAGATAGTAAAAACGAGTAATACTCTATACTAGACAAACGTATATTGGCCTAATTCCGTTCATCTGGAACTCTAATATGAACATATGCTAATATAATATATACTCAGATGTTGGTTAAGATTATTGTTAGATCGAACTGAGATTAACTCGTTTCCTCTACATTGCATAGCTTGCAGGATCTTCCAGGATTACCCTGCTGAACGGAATTAATAGAAACACTTTGACTTCCGATTGCACTTTTTATTCCGATTTATGTTTCCATCCTATACGATTAAAAAACCTATTTCAATATTTAAAGACGCAATCGAATCATCATTCTTGTTGCCTTACTAGAGGCCTTTGAGATCCAGTACATGCCGTCATTAGAATCTACTTCAGTCTTGAAATATCTGCCATTAATGTTACTGGAAATACAGAAATTAATCAAAATATGACAATGTTGAAAGGCTATTAATGATTTACCTTCCAAACGCATCCTCATGGAAATACCAATAGCCGCCATGATGCATTGCAGATAAATTTTTAGGACTATTTTCTTTGTCGAAAGTCGAAAAATCATTGCCCACATGTTGAGACAGCCTATCATGGGCACCTCTGTAGCAGCCCACGATTTTAAGCCTGTAGCTTTCAGCCTCAGAACCTATCACGAAGTTATCGTATAGAGCCCAGGAAATTTCATTTCCAAAGCCCTGCACATAGACAAACAGCTCGTGTCGATGGTCATTGGTCCGGCGATGGATATATTCCAGTCCTCTGAAGAGTTCTCCATCCGGAATCCCAAATCCATTTCGATAATCTGCCCAACTACTATAAAAATTTTCGTTGCCTATGTATCGATTTTGAAAGATAATCCACCCGGGTTCTGCTGCCTAAGAGTCGCATAAAACGTCAAACGGACTTACAACGAACAGAGTAAGTGTTTTTACATAATCAAAAACGTTCATTGGAGCTGGACACCATGGTGTATTATTTAGTATTGACTGCAGATTAAGCACTGTTGGTGATATTTTTCTTGAAGGCCATTGGAAACCAGCGACTGTAAGTTCTCTACTCGGGCCTGAAGGTCCGACAGTTCTCTCTGAAGCATCCATTGAATATCACATTGATCATAATCTGTGATCTCTTGACAAAGTCGGCCCTGCAGATTCCCGATCGATTCGTAAAGCGCCTGAATTTCCGGGTCCCCATTCGCTTGGTTATTCCAGACCAATGGCAATTCCTTATCTTGTTTCTCCAGGATTACCTTGATTTCTTGCAGCAATTGACAGCAATTTAGCATATCCGAGAGACTCTAGATCGCAAATGGAATATAATACATCTCATATTTGATGTAACTCAGATCTGCTCACACTCTACCTACCTTGATGGATGTGAACGATGAAGCCAAAAGGGCAAAAAATATCAGAGGCCGCATTTTACAATGAGAAACAGTCGTTTTTAAAGTTGAAAATGAACTGGAATTGAATAATTTGCTATGCATTAAGTAAACTCTAAGCGAATTAGATTAGGATGTCAACTGGAACCTATTGATTGGTACACGTCTGGAGGAACAGATGTGCACGCTCGCTGTAGATATACATATATTATTATAACAATTAAACTTGTCATAGTAGATTCCAAGTTTCATAAATTTTTTAAAGAAAATAATATTATTTTTACACAAATAATACAATATAAAAATTGCTATGTTTACAGCCTGTGATAAACTGTATACGATGGAAAGTTTCAGTAACCCAATAACCCAATATGTTTTTGCATTTATGCATCTAAGAAAACAATAATTATAAGTAAAAACAACAAAAAAGAATGCTTTTAGCATATAAACATTTGGCCTTATCAAACAAACTCGATCTGCGCGTGATATAAATAGACCTAAGAAACAACCTCGAATCTCTAGCTCCTATATCTTTAGAGATCAACGCGTTCAACGCTATCAGTTTAAGACACAATTCATATACTTTATGGGCTCTGACACGCCTCCTTTTGCTTTCCCATCTTCAATGGGTCAAGTGTATAAGAAATTTAATTTAACATTTTATCAACTATCAACTACAGCTGAGAGAATTAAAAAGCATTTGTTAAAAGAAAAATCTTGAGACTCAATAACAATGTATACTATTATGGGCCAAAGAAACATTAAAAATTGATTACTTAAGTTCACACTAGTTAGCCCTGTATATATGTTTATACATATATATTTATAAACAACATACATATATGTATTGTTCGTAACAATTAATAAGACGAAGGCTGATATCAATCCATTTAATGGCTACCTTTAGTTTTTTATGGCAAACACTTATGGCTCGCGTTTTGTTGTTCAAGAAGACTTCACCCCTACAATAACAATAGCCTTAATGATAAGCAGACAGGGACAAACAGAAAAGCGCTGCTGACAGCCGCACATGCTGCGTATACGCAATTTTCAACCCTCACACGAGGAGACGGCGACTGGTTGTTATCAACGATAAGTGCGGCAAATGAAACAGGGTGAGGCAGACAAGCAGAGACAAAGCTGAAAGCACCCTGTACAGCTCTTTGTGTGTTGGATAGCTAGCATTGATGAGTAGGAGAAGTGTATAGAGTGTTGGCAGAGAAAGGCAGAGGCCAAGGCTATAGAGCTTAGAGACATAAGCCTAAGCTGAAACTGAAACTGAGTCTACAGGGCAAGCACAGCGCATACATGCTTGAAAACAGACATTTCAACAAATTGCTTTAGCTGTTGTAGTTGAAGACCAAGCACCCTGTATGCCTTTGTTTTCCTTTTGTCAGGGGGTGGCTGTGCGTATACTTAATATGTGTGTCGCAGCAGGCGTGCGCTGCTCCTGTCGCTGGCAACGACGAGCAACGAGACGGACATGACGACGATGTGAATAGCTCGTCCTGTTAACGAGGCGACTCTTTGTCCCAGTTGCATCCGAACGCTACAGCCGTCAACTTTATCGAAAGCGGGCAACGCGCAAATCAAGGTACAAAAATAAGAAAACCCCAGCAAAAGCCATGAAAATTTTGCCATGCAAAAATAAGAAGAAACTAAAGTTAATGCTTGCCGCAGTAGACTCAATTTTAGCTGAAGAAAGTCAAATGAAATACATTTCGCTGGCAATTGGCGCTAACTCGAGCCCAGCTCCAGTTTATTTTATCGCAGACAAACCCTTTGCTGGAACTATTTATCCTTTGGGTGCGGTCGCAATTCGTTTGAATTGCTGGAAATAAAGTGCGAAATTAAACGTTTGATTTGAGTGCGTGTCAAATGGTTTGACAATGGCCGGAGCGTAAATAAATTTTTGTTATATAAGTGCGAAAAATGTGTGTGAAATTTTCGTTAGCACTGAAAAATGTATCTGCATGTATACCAAAATGAAATTTCAATTCTGTATCTATAACTGGGACGACGCGAAGCTGCGGAGTCTGCGTTCTGCGCAGCCTTCAAAGAGCACAGCTGGTAGCTGTCGAGCAATGGGCATGGGCATGGGCATGGGCATGGGAATGGGAAATGTGAGTGTGTGCTTGCTGCAGAAATCTGTTTTGGCACTGACCTAGACACCGCCGGCTGGCTCTTGTTGAGCCTGCGCACGCACATACTTGTTGCATGCAAATGCCATGGCATGCTTCCCAGACCTCCATCCCAAATACATTTTGTATGCCCTCAAAGCCACTGAAGATGGGCAAATGGGGTATATTGGGGTAACAGGCGATTGAACTATATACCTGATGAGTATTGACAGTTATTTCTGTTGAGCACACTCAATATTAGCCAAGTAGAGGCTATAAAAAGCTGAAAATCATTATACATATATAGGGCATATATCTTTATTCTGATTGATTTTGATGAGCCAAATCCGATTACATTATATATGAAATAACATGCAGCTGAATGCAGTCATTATATATATTATATATGTATATATAGTCATATAATATTTTTAGAAGACATTATTCGAACACTCGAATAGTCAGAGACTTGAAACTCTATATTCAATAAAATATTGAAATAAAATAGATATTTATTTTAGTTAATTCATTGATCAATTATCATCTTCGATCAATGCCTCAATTCCCAGCCGTAGACAGGGTATTTTGCAGTCAGTCAATGAGCTGACACTGGCTCAATAGTAGCATGTCATTAACTCTGGTCTTGCCTTGCAGCTGCCGGCCACACGATGGTGAGCAATGCGACAAACAACAACAATCTGCAGGCGAACAACAATAGTTCGACGCCGAACAACAACAACGATGACTTTGACATTGACCAGGACGATGGCCTGCAGGACCTCGGCCTGCCCGTCTCCGTCCAAACGTTCCTGTGGCGCCAAATAGCGCCGTTCATCAGGCCGCGACTGGGCAAGCTGCATGAGGCCAGCTGCATGGTAAGTGTGTGTCAAGCAAAGGGGAATATCGAATGAAAACTAAACGAATATATTGAAATGAAAGCGAAAAAAAAAAAACAAACAACTAAAAACTTGGCTAAAAAAAAAAAAACAAATACCCTACCAAAGGTGCCTACTACTAAGCCTCTTCCTCAATGAAATGAAAACTAACAAAGTCGAAATGAGCATAAATTAACTTTGGCCTGGCCGGAGCTGATATACCCCTACAGTTGACTATGAAAATGTTGAGAGAAACTACTGTTATAGCCATCTTATAGAGATGTCCGATTTAGGCATGAATCAGAATGATTTCTGGAAAGCCTTGAAACACCTTACAAATGTTGAACTTGTGCATAGCTCATTCTCACACTAGCTGTTCAAGAGATATGAGAGTAGCTTATGGTGATCTGCTCTGCAGTTAGCCATCATTAAAATGCTGTTAGGTTCCTTCTAAATCCTGCTTTATGTTTCATCTACAACTATCTCTGCTATCTATTATATCTATCGATTTTAGTTAATATTTCTTATGCAATGGGCATATCCTTCTCACGAAAAAGTCCAAAGAAGTACCGTCTACTTAAATAGATGATCTCTCGAATTGTCCAGAGAATCCATATTTCCAATAGAATTACGAAAATTCACACTTTTCATAAGTTGTTGATTGTTGCAGCTTTGGTAAAATAAAGCGTAGAGGAACGTTGTTGATCTATTTAGTTTAGCTTGACATTCCTCTAATTATTATATATTGAGTATGTGACTCTTACTTCAATAAATAGCAAAACTAATACAAAAATTTATCATTATGAACCATAATTTTTTTTTTTTTTTTTACAAATATAATATATTACATATTACATATGGATACAAGTTTCGATACAAGAAGTTCATATGGAGTCTGAGAAGTTGTGAAAGATATTCATGATATTCATTCATTAACAATTAGTTATCAATGTTAAATGTGGGTGGAAGCTATGGACCAATCATATATGAGATATGGTCAACATTTGTATAGCAAATGCAGGGGTATATATAATGAGTTGAATTGAATTAATAATTCATTGATTGACTGATTGATTGATTGATTGACTATGATGCAATTGTGCTGTAAATTCGCTATGCGTGTTTTTCATTTTTGTTTAATTTTGTTTTCCTTTTTTTGTAAGGATGGACTCTATATAACTGTACCCATTGGCACAATCGATTGTACGTCTTTTACATACATTACATAAATACATATATGTATGTATATGTGTGTATGTATGTTATGATTTATACACAGCTTTCAGTTGATTTTATTGCTCAAAATTCGAAATCTTGAATATATGAATTTGATGTTTGACATTTTTTTTTTGTTTTTTTATACACATTCTTGCATACGACATTTACAATTTCTTTTCTACTAACACACGCTCTAACCACTAAACACCCAACAACCACGACCACAACCACAACCAACAACAACAATTATTATGCTTTTAACAAACAACAAACTGTACAAATGAACATTGTAAAATCTCTCGCAACTTGTCTAAATCTGAATGTAGTTTTGTCAACACGCACCGGGACACCATGTAAGTTATAAATGTTATAAATGTACATAACAACTAATACTACTACTACTAACATATGTATCTATAACTAATTGCGATAATCTAACTCTTCTGAAAAATAACTTATTTTTATTCTATATATACTTTTCTTGTTCTGTTCGTTCTGCATGCTTTGAGCTCTGATTTGCAATGATTTGTATAGAAATCTTATTCTGCATAATATCATATGTATGTATATAGCTTGACAAATCGTTATATATCTTTGTGCTTTATCTCTTTCCTCGATCCGACTACGTACACATGTGCATAATAGGAATCCAAAGAAGCTTGTAAGGTATGTCTATATGTCTTTTGAATTGGTCCTTCACAACTACTCCTTCACGCTTCGCTCTTTCAGTCCTTCGAGAAGGTTCTCGTGCAGAACATTCAGTTCGGACTCTCGCCACCGTTGACCAAGGCCCTGAGCGCCATACCACGTTGGCGTCTGCTGCAAGGCGCCCTGCCGCATGTCATGCACGCCTGCGCGTCGCTGCTTTACTGTAAGTCCTTATGCTCTGCGTATGCAATTGGAGAAGGGTATATTAGTTGGGGACATACGACAATTGAAGATAGGCAGGAGCGTACGATCTGCAGACTTTGATCTGCTGTCATCTACGAAAAATTTACGATGATATATATATATTTCTTGGGTGGCAGCTAAAGATATCAATTGAGTTGTATAACCTACATTGTGGCTTAAGATATTTCATTACATGATACATTTGGGGTTGGACTTCTAAGACCTGGGCTATGCATTGAGTATACATACATTAGATTCCGTGAAAATGACAAAAATTAACAAAATTTGCACTTTTCAATGCGCCTAGAGAAGTCTTCATCTTTAAAGCTGAAAATGAACTGAAACAAAACACTTTTCCTATGCTGTGAGCTAACTTTAAGGGAATCAGATAGCAATGTCTAAGTGGAGCTGGAACCGTATTGATTAGTCACATAGCTTGTAATGGTAATTGAAGAATCCTCTATTTACTTAAAGATAAGGTCAGGCGGGGCTTTCTATATAATTCGCTCTGGAAATTATATTATATGACTTGGGTAATCATATTTTCAAGTCTCGTCAAGGACATGAACGCGTCGTTTCATCAGTTAAGGCAGCGTTTTCTTCCATCTACAGAGTTCAGAGTTCAACCAACTATTGTTGTCAAGACTCTAATATGAACTAAACTAACTGAGATTAACTCAGTTCCCCCAAATTTCATAACACAGCGGAACAGAATAAACAATCATTCCAGTGGGTTAGGTAAAGCACTTCGACTTTTGATTGCACTTTTTATTTCGATATATATTTTGACTTTATATGATTGAAAAATAAATTTTAATATCGACCCACCGGTCGAATCAGCATTTTGGTTGCTCTATTAGAGTTCATATGGAACCAGTGCATGCTTGATATATCATCCACGCCCGATCGGAAATATTTGCCATTAAGGTTGCTGGAAATGCAGGAATTAGGTGAAATATGGAAACATTACAGGTCTATTGAGAAGTTTACCTTCCTTTCACTAAGCCCTTGTAATACCAATAGCCGCCTCGATATTTTTGAGAGAAGGCTTGATGGCTATTTTCTCGGTCATAGGTCGAAAAATCTTTGCCCACATGTTTAGACAATCGTTCTTGCATGCCTTCAAACTTACCGACGCTTTTCAGCCTGTAGTTTTCGAACTCAGAACCTATATAAAAGTTATCGTATCGAGCCCAATAAATATCATTACTAAAAGTCTGCACATAGATATACAGCTCGTGCCGTTGATAGCTGGTTAGCCGGTAAATATTCTCCAATCCGAGGAAGAATTCCCCGTTAAGGCTCCCGAAGCCGTTTCGATATTCAGCCCAACTTCTATAAAAATCTTCGGAGCCATCGAATCGGTTCTGGATGACCAACCAGCCGGGTCCTGCTGTCTGAGAATCGCATAAAACGCTAAGCGGGTCCCCACCGGGCAGAGTAATCGTGGTTATGCCCGCAAAAAAGCCTAAGTCAGCGCAGCTAGAGTGTGGTCTTTGCGGAGGACTCGTGGGTGGCGGTGGATTCGGCGGGGGCTGCGGTGTCGTCGGACAAGTCGGCGGCGGCCCCGCTACTTGCAGCTGATTAAAGCAGTGTTGGTAAGAGTTTAGGGCCATATTCGCTTCTTGAAGCATATTGGCAACGTTTGACTTCAGGCTCTGTGCGCTGGATAGAAGGTCCGACAGTTCATTTTTCAAAGTCCATTGGATTTCATTATAATTGGGTTGAACTATCACTTGACAAGGTTGCTGCTGAAGAATCGCGATCGATGCGTTAAACGCCAAAATTTGCGGGTCTATATTCGGATGACTATTCAAGATCGTTTGCAATTCGACAACTCGTTTCTCCAGCTGTGTCTTGATTTGTATTAGAATTTGATAGCGTTGAGTCAAATGCATGAGACTCTAGACCGTCAATGGAATTATATAATATTTAATGTAATTTAGATAGGCTCACACCTCACTCCAACTTACTATGCACTGAGCCCTGATGGCTATCAATGATGTTGCCAAAATGGCAAAAATTAGCAAAATTTTCATTTTTCAATGCGTCCAAAGAGACATTCGCTTCTAAAGCTAAAATTCAACTGAGGCAAAGCACTTTTCCTATGCCATAGGCTAACTCTAATGAAATTAGATAGAAATGTCAAAGTGGAACTGGAACTGTGTTGATTAGTCGTATAACTAGCTGCTCTGCTATGCAGGAGACAACGGGGCTCAGGGAGAATTCGACTTGACTGTTGCTAATTGAAGAATCCTCTATCTGCTTAAAGTCAAGGCCAGGCGGGGCTTTCTATTCTATTCGCTCTGGCAATCATTTTAAATGACATGGGTAAATCGTATTTTCAGGCCGCGTCAAGGACATGCAGGCGATTGGGCCCGTCGAGACGAAACTGTTGTACACAATGCAATGGATATTACTTTATGCCGCCGAGGAGTGCGCCGATGATGAGGGCGGCGACGAGCTGGGCTTGGGCGACATTGCGGAGACCAAGGCCAAGGCCATGGATCAGTATTTGTTTTCAGTGCCAACGATAACAGTGAGCGATCTCAACTTTGTATCCAATCCAAGATCTCACTTGACTAACGCCATTTACAGCTGTTTGTGTATCTGTTTGCGCCCATCATACACCACTTGAAGGAGTCGGACTTTCAAAACATTCGCTTAGAGAACGGCATCAAGCTGTGGCAGGGCATGTGGGACAATAGGGCCCCGGGCGCTCCCTGCTTCACAGCGCCTGTCAAGCCGAAGGCACGCAATTTGCTATGCGCACCCACGCCAAAAGGCTCGACCGACGTGATTCAGGGTCGCAAGCACTCGCTGGGGCCCGACGCCATGTCACCCAAAGCGGACTCGCCACAGAGCGGCCTCAGCGACTATGGCCAACAGGACGAAGAGGTAGAACTTCAAAAACACAAAGCACTCAATTAGAATTGTTAACTGATCTGGGTTTCACATAGGGCTCCTGGGTCTCCTCGCCCAAGGAGTTCTTTCCCGAGACCATACCCGAAGAGGCGTCGAGCGTGGAGGACGAGCGCGTGGTCATCTTTCGATTGCCCTCTACGCCGCAGCTGATGGACAACTCGTTTTTTACGGTACGCAGCTTTATAGACATATGTACCTTCCATTTCCTCACCTACATTTTATATCCAGGCCGATGCCAGCTTGCTGCAGCAGCAACAACAGCAACAGCAGCAACAGCAGCAACAACAACCGCAGAGTCGTCGCGGCAGCCACCAATCGATGAACTCGAGGGATAAGGAGAAGCCCTCAACCAAATTTGAGTTCGATCAGCAGGAGCTGACCCGGGGTGCCTCCATGAAGGAGAAACGCAGTGCTTCGATTGAAAAAGAATCGGATACGGATAAATCGGAGAGCGGTAAGGTGGATGTGTCGGCAGCTACCTTCCTCGATGTGGCCGTACTGCGCTGTCTGTTCATCGCGCATTGGCAGGAGGAGGGCATCTTCTGGAGCTTGCAGTACCTGTACAACAGGTGAGTATCATATCATAGCTGGGTATCATACTGAAGCTAAATAAGCTTCCATTTGCAGACTCAGCGAAATTGGGGAAGAGGCGTCCATTACATTGAATCAGCCGCGAAAGCGCTCCAATTCACTGCCCATACCACAAATCGAGATCTCACTGTACCAGGGACCCGGCAGCAATAGTCGCGATAGTCCAGGGAGCTCTGTAGTCAAGGACTATATCGAAATACCGGAGCCAGCGGCCACAGTGACAGCCAGTGCAGTGGGTAAGTCATCCATCCAGCTGGCGAGCCCCCTTCCGAACCAATCCAAAATGCGCTAAGTCCAACTCAATCTTTCAGAGGAGACAGCGAGCGTGCCCAGTAGCTCGGATCGCCGAGGCAGCGAGAAGAAAAAGCGCGTCAAAATGGCCGATCTACGGGCATTTGTCGAAACGAAAATGTTCTCAAAATCGGAAAAGAACTTGGAAAAAGTAGGGCTCGATACAAACTCTGCCAATGGCAAGAATCCACTGCAGCATGCAGTAAGCCAACAGCTAAGAGCTAACTAACTTTATAGCAATATCCCCACAGTCCTGCAAGCTAGCACACCTGCTTAGATTTCTTGTTGATATCCACTCGTTGGCAGAAGCTGCCTTTTTGTTTTCATTTGTCTTGTTAATTTTTCTGTTTTCTGTGCTGTTGCCAAAGTTAACGCTGTTAGCGGAGTTACGTAGCCCAATCGATCACTAATCAATGTATGCTTCTCTTCCGTCCAGGAGTACCATCGCAGCCTGGATACAGGCGAGAAGAAGCTGTCGCGATCGGCCTCCATGATCACTCGAGAACCAGCTAGCAATCTCATCAAGGGCAAGTCCATGCCCAGCCTAAGGTAAGCTAATGGACCCAGGCACGCCTGTGAGACATATAGAAAACTAAATTAGGCCCGGACACCCAACTCAACTAAATTGAACTCTATTGCTAACATCTCTTTATATAAACGATATCAAACTTACTATCTTTTATGAACTGAACAACCAGCTGTCTGCTTGATAGCGGGTGAGTTTTGGTCTAGCGCTTGGTTCTACTTCTTTTACTAGCTAACTACTTTTCCTACTGTGTCTATATCTACATATATACTATATCTAATTACTGGTTAAACTATGCTACTATATACCCTAGGGCTAATGCCCTTTCACCTACAAGTTTGCCTGAACACCTAAAGCCTCCCTAAAAACTCTTTAAACTTTCCTCTATTCGCTCGCTCAATCGAGGCTCATTGTAAATTTAACCTGAGGATTAGTTATTTACCATTTCCAGTTGGCTTCATATTGAAGTTAAGTGACCTAAAATTGAATTCAAATGTTGCATGTTAAATTTACCATGAGCTGCTCAACCCAAACTACTTTTACGCCTTCCTCTTTTGCACGTCGTTTGTTTTAATTGGGACTCCCGCATCTCCTCTACAATATGCCAGATTTTACAGATACATAGAACCGCCCAAGGCCTCTAGGCCGCCGCAGACGACCTGTCCACGGGGCACCGCCTTTTATCCACGTAATCCCATCATTACGGTCACAGAGCACACGCCCACACCCTCACCGGACTATATGAAGCGACAGGTGAGCCAGAGAAGAACTGTGTATATGCTCTATTGATTAACTGTTAACTGTCGTGGCTTTGAGCAGGGCTCCATTGACTCGCAACTGGATGCTTTGAGCAACGGCGGCAGCATCGTCGGAGCTGGTGGCAATGGCAGCGCCGGTGGTGGCAGCAGCACCAATCGCTATCGCGGACCCATGCTGCGCTCCCACACTGATTCCCACATAGACTATACGGGTGTGGATGAGTCGGAGGCGCCCGGCTCCTCGTTCTACATCACACGAGACGGCGGCATCGACTATGAGATCGTGCTGCTGGCGGTGAGCAGCGTATTCAAGCGCGATCCATCCCAAGTCTGCTCCCTGCGCGTCCTCGAGGCAGGCCTCAACATCTGCGAGCTGCTCATCGAGATGGGCGTACTGAAGCTGGGCGAGCATCCGCACGAGATATCGATGGGCATAACTCGACGTGCGCTCCAGGTGCTCGGCTGCCCACATGGTTGCAATGATGGTGAGTGGCTAGTAACTCGGGGCATTCGGTCCTCAACTCATCCACCTTTTCAGGCGTTCGAGGACCACCCGCTGACTTTCTGCGCAATCAGTGCCAGAAGATCATCGCGCGCATGCTGCGCCAGGCCGGGCAGCGCACCAAGCGTCATCTACAGGAGATGGTGAAGACATCGCCGCTGCCGGAGCTCATTGACTACTTTCATGCGTTTCTCGCCTTCTGCGTGGATCCCAGCTCCCTGCTCTCGCCGCTGAGTAAGTCGGGACCAGCCCCCATCCGTGCAGTGCCTAGTTACTTAAGCAGCTTTGTCTTTCGATTCTATTGATTGATGTGGCACCAAATTCCCAATTGCAAAATTGTCCATTATACTTCTTACTCCTTATACTCGTTCATATAGTGGCTATAGGGCGTATTGGTCCCTACTTGTCTGCTGTGTGGCCTCAGTATGCGAAGCTCAGAGCAGGCCTGAACTGACGTAGACACGTTCCACGTTTTACAGGGTATACAGATAGTCGTTGCAGTTGCCTATTTGCCTTATATCTGGTCTCAATATAAACATGATCGAATTGGGCTTGGTATACTATGATAAGTAGAAGTAATATTTTACAGGCTATATGAAAGTAAGATAGGGGGAGCATTGAACTGATTTACATACCTAATTATAACTAATCTGTATATACATATATATATGCTCAGTCCAGACCAGTTCCGTTAGCAACTCAATCGTGAATTTCTCTACTTGTGGGCGAGTATTGTGCAGTCGGTTGCCTCCGACTACTTTACGTATTTATATCCTCACTATTATTATTTGTGGAGCTCTGTTTGCATCTCTTTTTCTCTCTCACACAATCTCTAACTATGTATCTGAATATATTTCACTGTGTGTGTGTGTGTCGTTCGATGTTGCATGCAACGAGTTTTGCTAATGCTTTTGAGTTGTAATACATCCCTCCCGCCCCCGTTTGTTGCCTCTGACCTCCTACAAAAAACACTCGTACGTTGTATATATATGTATGTATGTATGTATATATAATGATGATGCATATAGCTCATAAACGTCAGAGTGGATATAAAAATGCTAACACCGATCTTGGCGGTGCACCAGGTCAGGGCGGCTATTCCAGCAATTTTAGCGGCGGCATCAGCGGCGGAGCCGAGGGTCAAGTGGTTGGCGCCATATTCAAGCAGCTGGTCAGCCGATTCGTGGAGGCCAGCAAGGATCTGAAGCTGCCCGAGAATGTGGCCCTCTATGGTGACATACGACAGCTGGTGACCTATGTGAAGGGCGCCCATGGCGGGCCCTTTCGACTGGTTGCACTCAGCGGCATATTGGCGGTGACGCCGCGACCCCACAAGAAGGGGCCAACGCCGCAGACGACGAGGGTAATCAGGTGAGCCCAATGAATTCACAATCCCAAATCGGCTAATCGAGAAGCTAATCATCCACTCATCCACTGACAGGCATATACCCCAAGCGAATGCCATGCAGATGCAGGTGGTGCAGA